TTCAGCCCACTCCTGAGTTAGGGATGCAACAACAAGAATCGGTTCTGACCCCCGCACCCCGAAACCAGAGTTTTGGGAGGTCACCCTTGCGATGAAGTGGCTGTTGCAGATCGCGGTTGTTGGGATGTGCAAGGTCACGGTAGGCTGAGATCAGATGCGTGATTGGGAACGCTTCATCTTAACCATCCCGTGTTTTGAAACGCCGGCTCATGTGTCGGAGAGCCTGTGGTGCTAGGCTATGTCGACTAGATTGCCACGACCATTCATATAGATCGCCAGATTTGATGCGCATGGATAACTAACGAAACAAAGCGGGCTTGTCAAACATAGCTCTTTTCATCTCTAACTCTGCTAACCTTACTTCCACCACCGCAGATCCCTCTTTGCTACTGACCAATCAGCTCAGTGCGTTTAGCAGCATGGATGACAAGAAGTCCCAAGTCGATGCGCCTTCCAAAGATTTTAATGAATTAAGTGCTTCATTCGCTTCGGACTGCAAAATTCAGGCTAAACTTGGCGGGAAAGAAGGGATCAGCCTAGACGCGCTGGGCAAGGCCGACGATCAAGCTACCCGGAAAGAGCAAGCAATCAAACTGGAAAATGTGGAGGAAGTGATGGATTACCTCTGTCAGGCGATCGAGGATAACGAGTAAGCGATCACATCACTGCTGTTGGTCACTCAAGCTTCCGATTACCCTTCAAAGACAACGAACTCAACTGCCCTTCGGAGACTGTCGCTTCAGAGATGATCTGAATTTTCCCAGCGCGCTGCTCCATCGGGCCGCGGAAGTCCTTAGACCTGGAGTGCCAGCTCAAGACATAATCAATCTTGCAGAAGCCATTTGCGCAGAACTCAAACTTGCGCAAGAGAACTCGCCCTATCCTGAAGTGAGGCTCTTTATTTCCAAAGTACTCTGGCGAAATGAGTATCTCTGACTTGGTGGTGGACAAATAAAACAGGTCCGGGCTTGTGTTGACCCATTCGACCGGAAGTAGCGGCCTCTGGGAGATTGCTGGCAGCCGGCTGCTGGCACTGGCACTGGCAGTGCCAGTCACTCAAAGCCCATGAAAGTATGGCTTCCAAAACCTTTCCCGCGTTGAATCTCGTATGGTGTCCACTCACATGACATACCCACTACACATGTGGTGATAAACAATATCACATTTCACCAATACCGCACCAAGCCTATTCATCCAACAAAATCGAGTCTACCCATCACTAACCAAGACTGACAAGTCATGCTCATACCCGCTATGTTCGCTCCGCTCGCAATTGTCGCACTGAAGACCCAGTCTCATCTTTGGAGACCACTGTCCCGACAACTTTGGTGTGACTTTCTTGAAGGCGGGCGCTCACTGTAGAAGAGATCAAGGTTAGCTATCTTTGATTTGCCTTCTGAGACGAGGATTTCAACTGAGTTATGTGTTGCCCTTTTTTTTCTCGTGACCTGGTTGATCGCTGGGCATACGGAGCTAAGGTCCTTTACAAAACTGGGGCTCATGGTGCTCAACTTCATTGCGCACACGGATATCTATTATGTATGCCTACTCGCCACCGGAAGAAACAATTATAGTCTTTTGACCGATTAATCTTGGTCTATTACATATGTCTACCAAGCTTGATAATAATCCTACCACATTTTAATTTTATATTACTTTCTGATAAAATTGATGATGTACCTGAGTTTTGATCAATTTGATTCCATAAGATTTTGATTTTTCATCTGGTTTTGAGTGATCTCGTACTTGAGTTTACTGTTTGCTTCAGTTTTTTTTCAAAAGACCAGTGCGAGAATGCTGGGAGCAACTGGTGTATTAGTCAAGATAGATGATGGTGGTGAGGGGGAATCGTCCTGGCTATACTTCTCCCGAGAGCCTTCAACCAGCTCTTATGTGATGGGGGTTTCAGGGCGCATGTGGTGCGAGTGAAGTTGTTGTGCAATTGATTTGGAGGGATTTCACGGAGGGGTGAAATCTTGGGGAAAGGGGTAAGTACCTGGCACTGGCAGTAGTGCCAGTAATCTCCCGAAGGCCGGGTGTTCCCCATTCGACGATCCTACGATACCAGTGCTCACCTTTCGGTAAGTTTCACCGCCATCTAGTCAGGAAGGAGAAATATTGACTATGTTTGACTTCAGAGTGTGGACGATCGGTATCCTGCTGGTGTGCTTGGGTACCGGAGTCAACCAACTGTTTGCGCCGCGCATGCCAAGTATTGGACTGAGCGTCACTTCGGCTCAGCTGGTGGCTTATCCGCTGGGATGTAGGTTGCTTCAGTGGTTCTTTGCTCGTTGTAAACTTTTTCTGATATTTTATCCACAGGTTTGATGGCCAGATATCTACCGAAGAATGTTTTCCGTATAGGAGATCATTCATTCACTCTAAATCCTGGTCCTTTCAAGTCAGAATTTCACAACACATTCTGACAGGAAGAAAGCTCTTTACTCACATCGTATCATGTTGATACCAGTATGAAAGAACACATGCTGATCAGTATTGTCAGTCGTCATGTATTTCAGAGATGTTAAGTGGAAGATTGTGATATTTCTCTTTCTTAACAGATGGCCAACGTCTCTTTCGGAGGAGCGTATGTGAGTTGAAAACCTGACGATCCTGAAACCACCAATTGATAAGAATTTGTTGGTGCAGGCAACCGATATCATTGCCGTCCTTCGAATCGGCCGGTTTTTCAACAACTCTGCTTTGGCTGAGAAGATCGGATTTCAATTAACATTGGTATTGAGCTCACAGCTGATGGGTTATACTTTAGCTGGTATGACGAGAAAGTAAGTACCTTTACCCTAGAGTCACTGCCAAGTTTCTTGGTACACATTGCTAACACTTTCTCTGTGTACGGTATCTAGGTTTCTCGTTGATCCACAGGCAATGGTAAGCTTGTCGCCACTGCTCATGATTTATTTCTTTTGAGAGACATCCCGCCTGACGGTGATTTACCATCCAAGGTATGGTGGGGGAACCTCTCGGAGATATCGGTCCTGCAAGCCTTACATGCCAAAGACAGAGACCAATCTGTCAATGGATGGCGCATCTCCCGATTGCGATTCTTCTCTCTCTGCGCGGTAAGTTCAACATTGCTTGCTACCTTTTCAAATCGTCATAAATATATTCCTTGCTGGCAATGCATTGAGCACTAAACTTGCTTTCCAGATTGCATACGGGATTTGTCAGTTCGTCTCTTAGACACCCGCTAGGTCAAGTCTCACATTTTTGTTCCGGTCTTCCAGACTACATTCTTCCAGGTGTCTTCTTCCAAAGTCTAGCATTTTTCAAGTACGTGATATGTTCGTGATACGTTCGTGATATCCCCCACTCTTGCTTCTGCCGGAGCTCTAATTCTTTTGGAAGCTAGCTGGACAACATGGATTGCACCCCAAAACGCCAAATTGGCTTTAATAACAGGTACCATCAGTGGTCTTGGCCTCAACCCCTTCCCTACTCTTGACTGGAATTTTCAGGCTATGGATCCCATAGTCACTCCACTTTGGTCTATCGTGAGCGTCCGAGCATTTCTCTCAGATGATTAGCTGTGGGTTGAAATATAATTGAATTATCAGATGAACCTCTACGCAGGGGCTGTGATTGGGGCTTTGACAATCTGTGCAGTATATTTCAAAAACATCAGATCTACATCATACTTACCTATCAATACTTGGGGTCAGTATCTATTCCCGTTCATTCCCGTCACTTTTTGAAACACTGATGAGGCTGTTCAAAATGCATTAGGTGTATTTGATCGATACGGGTACGCGAACTAACTCTCGACCCCTGGGTTCGTCTCAATGACAAGTTTTTATTTTTCTGTGATTAGAGCTCCGTACAACGCTACCATGGTTCTTGATAAATCAAACATTCTTGATCAGGTAAGCTTTTCCAGCATTTCACAATGAATTGATACCAAAGACAATTGTCTAATGATGCTGTATTCAGGTCCGGTATGAATCGTATTCACCGCCTTATATGACGGCGTCCAGCATTGTGTGGTAAGTATACAGATAGATTTATACATGGACAGGTACTCAGAAACAGCTTTGGACAATGCGAGTCGACTTATAAAAATTTGTTTGAAATTTTTACTAGCTACACCGCTTTCTTTGCATTGTATACCAGTAACATTGTACACGCAGCCCTTTATTACCGAAAGCATATCATGTCTGGATTGTATCACCTCTTACCTTCTCTTCAAGCCAGCCACTTTTTTAAGACCTTGCGAAGGAAAAATGGAGAGAAGCCTCTAAAAGATCAAATGCACAGCGACGTTCACTACCGCCTCATGCAAGTATACCCACAAGGTCAGCTTTTGTTTTCATATTCATACATAACAGGCTTTTCAATGGGTTCTTTTGCTTAACCCCATACAGTACCTGAATGGTGGTTCATGCTTGTCGGAGTCATCTCCATCGCAATGGCCATTTTCATGCTGAAATATTAGTAAGTTATGTACTTTCGTCTGCTCTAGGTTATTTAACTGACCTCCAATGTTTTTGAACCAATCAAGTGAATCAGAGATGCCCACGATGCCAGTATGGGGTTTAGTCAGTGTTTTAACCTAACCGATTTTAAACATCTTTACTCCCGCCGCTAAAGCTATACAGTCAACTCCCTCTAACTTGATATCCCTGTAAGTGCATAATTCTCTATGTGCATAGGATTTTTTGCCGCCAAAAAGGGGTTTGCCAGCCAAAATGAGGTCTATAAGTGCATATTCCTTTAAGTGCATGAGAAAACCACCCGCCAAACTGTATGTAATTAGAGGGAGTTGACTGTATATGCTGTTCTCCCTTGCTAGGCATTCGCCTTTGCTATCACTCTCGCTCTCATCGTCCCCATTGGCACTAGTAAGTTGGCCTTGAGACGAAGATGGTCATTTCTCTCACCATTTCTCCATTTGTAGTGACAGCGGTAGCCTCCGCGGCGTCTTCACTGAACGTGAGCTACCCCAACTTGACTCAAAAACCCAAAAATAAAGAGCTTTGTTGACCCTTGATACTCTAGGTTCTCTCTGAGCTTGTGGGCGGGTATGCTTTGGTTGGTCGGTAGGTCTGGTTTCTTCGCATACCTTGCCCGTGGTTCAATTCTGACTGGTGATCGTGCTCATCATAAAGTCCACTAGGGCTCATGCTCTTTAAAAGTAAGGTTACCCGAACTTCTTGGTAAAACCTACATTGACGTTGACAAAGATACCCTCCTAAAGCATACGGATGCATGACAATGGTTCAGGCACTTGGCTTTACCTCGGATATGAAAGTAAGTATCTTTGTAGCATGACAAATTCAAGCACATGCTCATTATTACTTTATTTTTATCATTGTGTACTAGCTTGCTCACTATGTGAAGGTGAATGATGGTCTTTTACAAATTCACAATCGGACAATTTTGGAACTGATCCGCATGTGATTTTGGTCACCTTTTGGGCAATCCGCGCTATTGATTTGTCATAGATTCCTCCTAAAGCTCTCTTCGCAGCACAGCTGTCTGGGACTGTCTTATCCTCGCTCATCTCCATAGCTGGTACAGTGACTTTTGACACATCATCTCTATACGGTAGCGTTGACAGCCTGATTGTTTACCTCATGTAGTTATGGATTGGCAAATCATGAATATCCCCGACCTGTGTTCACCAACTCAGGCCCTTCACTTCACTTGTCCAGGTCAGTCTTGTGAAGAAGTATCTTGTTGAAATTCATTCATCACTTATCACCCAAAGATTGTGCATATCTACCCAGATCTCAATGCTTTCTTCTCTTCAAGTATTCTATGGGGCGCCGTGGGATCGCGACGAATGTTCACAGGACCTGATGCGCCATACCGGTTTTGCCTGTATGGGTTTTTGTAAGTGAGGCAACATGCTTGTCCTAAAGTGATGTAAAGAACTTTGGAAATAAAAGTACTGAGCGCATGACAACCATAGAGTTGGTGCCATTGCACCCTTCATTCCGTGGATTTTCTCAAAGTTCTGGCCTAGGTCATCATGGCGGCTAGTACATACCCCCGTGATCTTTGTTGGCTTCTTGAGCTTCGGGACTTGCAACTTGGGTTACTATACGTGAGTAGAGCATGCCAGGATGCTATTCAAAAGCCTTGGGTAATCATGTATTTATAAAACTTCGTTTTGTATCAATTAGGCCTGTGATTCCACTCGCACTCTTCTTTCAACGGTTTGTGAAAAAGCGATACACCGCTTGGTATGGTATGTCGGAGATCGAATTCTTGTTCCATTCCTAAACAAAAGTACACTGATAAGGATATAATGGAAAAAACAGAAAAGTACGCTCTTACACTCACCGCTGGAATCAGCTCCGGTGTCGCAATCTTTGGGTTAATATATTTCTTTGCGCTCCAATTCAATGGGCAAAGCTACCCCTGGGTAAGTTATTGATACATTTTCATCGGACACACAGCTTCTCTGAATAAAGGATACTGAATTTGCTATTACAACGTTCTGACAGGTTGGAAATGAGATTTTTGCAGCGGGATGCGACGCTGCGACGTGCACTCTGCGGCAAGTACCAACGGATGGCTTCGGGCCAACTTCTTGGAAATGAAAATTCTGATTGATGTGTTCAGGCTCTAAGTCTCCGGATGTCACAAACAACTGTGGATGGACAAGACCTTTTATCATTACATGATAGACTTTATATCTTCTATTTCACATCGTTCATTTCCTTCACTGACAAGCAAAATACAGTTAATTCTTTTTGTAAACAAGATTATACATTCCCTCGACATGAAATTTCAAAAATATAACCAGATGTGACTCTGTAAAGGACAGCTGGCACTCTCCTTGGACATAAAGTATCGCCTCTATGAGGGATCTAAATAGGTTCAGCCACATCCTGCAAGTCAAATGGAACAACCAACTGATTTGAACTCGGGGTAAGACTCCCCATGGCCATGTGGTCAGAAATCGAGTCATATGTTAATATGCGCCTCAATAAGGGTGTTGTGCAGATAAATATTAGGGTATCTTGTTTTATGATAGCATATGATATATTTGGGCTTCTCGCCCCTGTGCCTTGGTTTTGGCATGCCATCTCACTCATCTTTTTCCTCGCAAGTTGCATCTTGATGGCATCTAAACGAATTCCTGGGCTCTCCAACAAGGCCACATGATCAAACGATTTCAATCAGCTCCAAGAGTTCAATCCCGGAAATTGTGAGACTACGCTATTGAAGGAAACTCTAAGGTTCAAGGTGATAGGCACTATACTGAGCAACCTACATTTCTTTCCCAGGTTCTATGTTTCAAATTGTCTCTACATTTTTGTTTGTACGTGAAGGTAGCATGTGGCAATAAGTTCATAAGAGTCAACGCTGTCTATCTTTAGAGAATCTTCAAAATTCAGTCACACTTAGGCCCTACTAAGATTGTTTTTGCATAGATAGATATGGACATACAAGATAGTTCAAAAATGAGGAAGAGTGAGTGTCCGAGCTTGAAAATTGAGATGAGTGAAAAAAAGATTGCCCATATCTCGTGTCACAATGATCGTGATGATATATACAACGAAAAAGTGAAGAAATGTGTGGGACTCAATTACAAAGGATGCCTCCAATCTCAGATCATGTCCATTCTCATGGAGGGCAAATGCCACTGACTTCCTGGTGCGAGATGCTGAGTACGGGGGCGGGTCCGCGAGGGGAATTGGGCAAAACAAGTTGAGGAATTGTGATACTACCTGGTCGGGTGCTACCAGGCTTTATAGAAACGAGAAATTGAAAGGTTTAATTTTGTTAACCTGTGCGGATACTGGAGACTGAGTGCCCAGAAAAATATGCGACGTACTGATATGCGGCAACTGTTGATGATTCCGGCGTAGGCACTTTGGATTTCTTCGGGCGTACTGAAGTAGTAACAGGTGAATGAGTTGATTAGAGCCATAGAATCACCACATAAAAAGATCCATCAGCCTTATGGTTAGTTATAAATCCGTTCTATGGAATGTACACCATCGGTATATATAGAGTAGTTCAATAAATCACCTCAGGATGGGGGTATTGCCAACAGGGGTTATGAGGACCTGTATGCGAAAACAACAGATTGGATCAAATCAGGAATCACTTCAAATGTTGCAATCATGTTTAGTATTCAGAGTGTTCAGCTCTTACCTGACAAAAGCCACAACCGTATCCCACAGAGGTGCCTGATTGGGTGTTGTATTCGCCAGCTTTCACAGATTGGAGCGCTCTAGCAAGAACGCGTCGAAGCGGTAGAAGGAGTCAATCAATATCAGTGATCAGCGAGGAGGAAAAGCCATAAAGTCTTTGATGATGTGATGGACGGGCTATGAGAAGACGGACCTTGCACATGCCACAGGGTTAAGGGTATCTGCAGTTGAGATGCAAGAGGCCTCTGCAACTGTGGTTGCTGCCACACCATGAGTCAAAGCCACAACTAAAATGATAGATTTGAGAATAGCAAGCATGATGCAATATGATCAAGACGAGATAAATTCGGTCTTAAATGGTAGTTTTTTTGTAAAATTTGGGAAGATTTGTAAAGACTGATCAAATGATGAGATGGGTAAAGGATTTGTACGAGGCTTTGAGATGAAGCCATCCCTTTTATAGTCAGCTCGCGAGCCACTTCCGCAGCTCACAACAATCCAAGAGCACAAGATCTCCAGACTCCACACGTTGAATTTGAGTCCGGTGCTTGGCTAGCTTAACACAGGCTCACCGCACCAACCGCAGAGACGTCCCGCAGGCCTCAGAGCCTGACGCCCTCGTCTCAGGAGGTACTTAGGGTGCTTGGCGACCATACCCTTGAACTATGACAGACTACGGTCTCCACCTCGGTGCCATTCGGCCCGCCACACAGCCTCTGTGTCAACTTGAGATTCACGATCGCCGGACTCTAAGACAATAGGCCGAAGCAGTGCCGTATATGATAAAGCGATGTCGTATGAATTTGTTTGAGGCGGTGTGTCAGTGTGAGAAATCATGCGAGCTCTTTTCCGGGCGCACCCCAAATATCGGAAGCATTGCAAGAATTGGACGAGTTAACTCGGGGTAGGTTGCCCAATTACGATGAGGATAGGATTGTGCGTTGGAGTCAGGAGGATCAGGAGACGTTGGGGGAATCCACAAATCAACTTTCAAGGAGTGTCAGCTGATTTGCCACGTGAAACCCATGTGGAGAGCGCATTCGGGTGAAGATGTCAGCTGATGTAGGTTCACAGACGGGATATCAAAGCGAAAGGTCTCTTGAAAGATTGAGGAGATGACATCATTTGAGTAACAGCCGCGTCACTCTTTGCGCAGTGATCAGTGAAGTGTGCACGTGACAGATCGATCCAATCCAATCGAAGACCACTCTCTCTTGACCGGTCAACAAGACTTTGGAGAAGACTCAATCAACTTTATAACCTCATCCTCATTCTGATCGTCAATATCGACATGAACAAATTCATTCAAACTTTATCAACATCAAATCAGAGAGAACAAGAAGAAGATTGTTCTCAATCGAAATGCGGTTATGCATTGAAGCTTCAACACAAAGGATCTATTTCTCATGAATCTGACCCAGTACCTACATTTGAATTCCCTGCTGTTGATGACGTCAGTGTTTTTTGCTACCAGACTTTACTGAGCCCTCTCTTTGCCAATACTGATTTATTTCTCTTTTTTCGAATAAAAATAGCCAGCAGCCTTCTTACGCGCTCACACCGATGATCGCTCACCAGACTCTAGAATCAAGATTAGACATGGGACCACTACCTTGGCATTTCGATTTAAGCATGGAATCGTCGTGGCTGTTGACTCTCGAGCTACTGCTGGAAGTTACATTGCTAGTGGAACCGTTAAGAAAGGTGGGTGACTTTCCACCAACCGCTTTGTTTCTTGAAAAGATCTCTTTCTGACGACGAACGTTCGATAGTGATCGAGATAAACCCGTTTCTCCTTGGAACAATGGCCGGTGGAGCGGCCGATTGTCAATATTGGGAGGTGAGTCTTATAAAGTAGAAGACACATGATTGATAGTATTTTCGTCTATGAGTTAGCTTACATTTCTGTGTTATCAACAGACTTATCTTGGGATGCAATGTCGGTTGCACGAACTTCGTAACAAGTCCAGAATCTCAGTGGCCGCTGCATCTAAACACCTTTCTAATCTTGTGTACAGCTACAAGGGTATGGGATTATCAATGGGTACAATGATTTGTGGTTGGGATAAATCTGGTCCTGCACTATACTACGTTGATTCGGACGGAACCCGATTGAAAGGAGATTGTTTCTCCGTTGGAAGTGGATCTACTTTTGCTTATGGGGTCTTGGATCAAGGTTACCATTGGGATCTTGAGGTTGAAGAAGCGCTAGAACTTGGTCGAAGGAGTATCTATGCTGCTGGTCATCGTGATGCCTTCTCCGGTAACACCCTCAATCTATATCACGTCAAAGAAGACGGATGGCAATTTATCGGAAATTACGATGTAAGTCTAAATTTTAGAACCCTGATTTGCTCGAGGATTTTAATCTGATTTGGATTTTTTGATTGTCTTTTGTTTCAACAGTTCAACAAGCTTCACTACGATATGTCTTATGGGTACGAACAGAGGGTTGCCAAAGAGTCTACCCTTGCTGCACCTGTTCAAGCTTAGCCAGAAAAGCTTGTATCTGTTTTTTTAAATTGTGAAATGTGGTAATGCAAAAATTTGTGACACATGTGACTTTTATAGTTCCAACCGCGAGATAATCAAATGAGAGCCCTGGCCTGGGCTGAGCGACTCGTCTTCAAGTCGCTGAAGGACTTGATGATTTAACTTCAGATGGAGGTTTGATGATATCTATAACAGCGAACAATGTCATATGAATTGTTTGGGATGCATGGTGCGGATCATGTATTATCAATGTTTTTTCCCTCTTGGAGCCGATGGAATATCGCAACAGATCGCTACTGTTTTGAGAGGGATCGATAAAGCAAGCTTGATGTTCTGCGCACTTGACCGGAAAATTCTGGCGGTGATGTCTGCCAGGACGAATGCAAATGACGCCCGTTTCTTCGAAAGTCTCAGATGATGAGCTCTGGTGATGAGTCCTGCACTCAGCGGACATCTTTAATTTATCAATCAACGGCATTCACCTCACATAACTCACCTGATCGTGTCTGTCCAGCTCTCCTCGACTTCCTCGACTCACCGACCAGGGAAAGCTAGGGAACCCCTACGTCACACTTCTTCGAAGTTTTTATCTCGCGACTCGAAAGTGTATAAATACACTTGCTTCGACACGGTTTGACAGAACAGGACGTATCCCAAAACGGAAGAGATTCCAAACAGCCGAAACTACACACACTTGGCAGGGACTTCACCAGCGAAAGAGGAAGACCCTTATTAGAGGAATTCAATTGAACTTGTCCATATACCCCTTCTCATCCCTCTTACTCTTCGAGAAACATGAATGAAATTAGTGCCAAGATCTTTTTGTACTTTCCAAGTCACTATTCCACGGAAACCAACAAGTCGATTTCTGGGCGAAATCGTTTTTTCCCAAAATCAGCTGGATCCGCATATCATTAAAAGGCCAGCGTTTTGAGACGTGAAAAGCAAGCAAGAAAAAGAAAGAGATGGAAGAGTATGCATTTGATTACGTGATTATGTGAGTGAATCCCTTAATTATTGAATGGTTTTGTTGTTGACTTGAGATTGACTGCTTAAAATCTGTTGTGGCTTTATTTCAATCAACCCAGTGGAGGTGGTACAGCAGGATGTGTGTTGGCCAATCGGCTCTCAGAGGATCCTACCATCACAGTTCTTTTGGTCGAAGGAGGTCCCAACGATCAAAACTTACCAGAAGTCCTTGAATTAAAACAATGGTTAAAACTTCTCAATAGTCCATTAGATTATGCATACCCAACCACAGATCAACCTCGAGGAAATAGTCACATTATTCATAGTAGAGCTAAAGTTTTAGGTGGATGTAGCAGTCATAATACTCTTATTAGTTTTTTTCCTTTCCCAGAAGATTTAGATGATTGGGTAAAATCAGGTGCAAGAGGTTGGGAATGGAAAAATTTCAAAAAATATGGTGATAAGATTAAATGTCATATACAACCAGTTGAGAAAAAAGATAGAAATGAATTAGCATTGAGTTTTATTGAATCAACTAAGAAAGCATTAAATATCGAACAAATTGAAGATTTTGCAGCTTGGAAGACCAAAGAAGGAGGTCAGAATCCTTGGATTGAAGGAGTTGGTTGGTTAAGCGTAGCATATACACCTCAAGATGGAAAAAGATCAAGTGCAAGTGTAGCTTATATACACGAAATCATTGATAAACGTAAAAATTTAACAATTTGGTTTGAAAGTTGGGCATCTAAACTTATTCTCAAACCTCAACAGAATCGAATCTCAGGTTTGATTGTAGAACTTAAAGATGGTACAAAAAGATATGTTCAAGCTAAGAAAGAGTTTTGCTTATGCGCTGGAGCAATTGATACCCCACGTTTATTGTTGTTATCTGGAATTGGACCTCGTTCTCAACTTGAAGGATTAAAGATACCAGTATTGCACGAATTGAGAGGAGTAGGTGAAAATTTGTTAGATCATCCTGAAACTAGTTCGTCAACTTTCGCAAAAAGATTTTTTGCTTGACAACTTTTGATGACATAAATCTATTGGTTATTTCCCTATGATCACAGTTATCATGTGGAAGACTGGACCCCATCCTGCTCAAACGGTGATGAAATCAGACGCGGCTTACTTCAATCGACGTTCAACAGCTAAAGGAAATCGTCCAGATATGATGAGTCATACGTGTCAGTCAGCCAATTACTTGAAACAAAGTGTATATTCTGAACATTCTGATGATGGTTTCCGCCCCTGGAGCCTGGTCGAAAAATTATAGATCAAGTTCCATTCTGTGATAACACGGTTAGATTAGGTTATAGTCGTCCTGAGCATGCATTTTGTATCACTCCTAACATGTCAGTCTTCCGTCTTCAACCCCTTTACAAGAATCATAAGCTGACTTCAAATTCATGAATTTTAGTCCACAACCCAAATCAAAGGGAAGATTGTACCTAACTTCATCAAATCCAAAAATCAAACCAGCCTTGGATTTTCGATATTTTACCGACCCAGAGGATTATGATGCGAAATGTTTAGTAGAAGGAATTAAACAAGCAAGAAAAATTGCTAATGAAAAACCTTTGAAAGATTGGTTGATTGAAGAGATCGCACCTGGTCCGAAATTACAAACTGATGAAGAATTGAATGAATATGCAAGAAGAGTAGCACATACGGTCTATCATCCGGCAGTAAGTCCTTTTGTCAAATATCTCCAAAGATGCCGACTGTGGTCAGGTTTGATGTACTGGTCTGTCTATTTCACTTTGAACAGGGAACCTGCAAAATGGGTGATGAAAAGGACGATGATGCAGTTGTTGACCCATATCTAAAGATCCGAGGTCTTTCAAACATCAGAATAGCTGATGCTAGCATTTTCCCAGTAAGTCTAACTTTCATTCCACAAAGCCCCATCGACTAATTTATAATCCCAAATGATTGAATTTCCGTAGACGATGGTCACACCAAACCCAATGATCACTGTCCTAATGATTGCAGAGAAAGCCAGTCATTTGATCTTATCCGACCACCAGAGAAGAGATTCAAAACTTTGATTCAGTGATCAATTTAGTATTACTTCGAGATTACCAAAGGCAATGTCAACCCTGTCTGAATCAAGTGACTGAACTGAGACTAAGATCCTTTTCAAAAATGTAGCTTCTGTCCAGATTTTGGATGTTTTTTCTACCTGTGAATAGCAAGAAGAAACCAAAAGCTCCTGATATTTACTGCCTGCAGTACCTGCAATATAAAATATATGTACCCATTATCAAGTGTAGGCGCCCTTTTTTGCGTTGACTGGATTTCCTTGACTTGGGCAGCGCAGGTACCACATACCTTGCTGCTGAGATGTGTTTGCAAAACATAACCTACACACACGTTGGCATGAGATAGATACAGAGGAGAAAGAGGGACACGGATCTATTCTCAGACTTTGGACACATAGACACTATCCTGGCTTTCGAAAAGATTATAAATAATAATATAAATGAAATATGCTAAAGGCATAACCTTGAGGATGCAATCAACGTACTTGAGACAAGTGAAGTAGCGAGAAATGACAATGAAGTTAATTAAACATAGGTTTCCTAACCTGTGATCTGCCTTAGTCTGGGTCTCAGGAAGTTGGAACATATGTAATGGTATCTTTGTGTTATATAAAATGTTCTTGGTTCGGTTAAATAAACCAGATAAATAAAAAACTAACAAAAAGAATCAACGTCAAATACAAGAAAATGACAGTAAATCTTGGCAGAGATGTTAACATGGATAGATACATCTCAGAGAGGAAGTCGAAAAATTAAGAAAATGAAAATGAAAACTTTCTAAATAAAAGTACCAGAGAAACTAATGAAATTAGCACCAATATCAGTAAAAGTTTTCAATTCAGGTGTAACTAATGCAAAGAAACCAGTTTCAAATAAATTCAATTGTTCAGAGCAAGCACCAATCAAATTAGCTAAGATAGCTGAAATCTTAATAAGAATACCTAAAAAGTAAATGACAGAGATAAATAATTTAGTCTTGCTTGTAGTAAAGAACGATAAAAGTTTTTGAAGAGATGATTGACTTACATTCACAAGAGTCATTGATGACTTTAAATTGACCACCTAATTTCAAGACGACTTGATAAATTGATTTGAGGTTCAAAACAATTTGAAAAGCAGACCAAGCCAAATCCGTCTGTTGGTACAAATCCCAATGAATGAAATTGATTGATAAGATAATCATTTTCAAGCTTTTGAGAATCAAGATTCAAAGAAATATAACTGACAATTCCTACACCTGAATCAACTGTTTGAGGAGAAGGATCCATACCACATTTTTGAATATTATTCAACTGTGATTGTAAAAGGTTTAACGTAGTATTAAGTTCTCCTGAAAGTTGAACTGAAACATCTTGAGCATTTTCAGAAGTGACTGTTTCACAAAGTTCTCGAACAGAACAAGCTTGAGTTGATAATTTATCAGTACAAGTCTTCATGAAATTAAAGATTTGTGATTTAGGATGTTTTGTATCACAAGTTGGGGCTGATGGTGAGCTGGAGGCGTATGAATCAGTTCTAGCTTTCAAGCCACTGAATCGAAAAACAAGAATCATTTGGTTGAGGTTAGCTATCTCCATGATATCAAGGGCAAAAAATCTTTATCCAATCACCTGTGAGTCCTTGCGTCGATTTGATGTAGACCCAAAACTACAGAAAGCAAAAGACTTGAGTCAAACAGAAACCAAATGAGAACGACACCCCTAAAGTGACAATGACTGACTACTCAAAACTCCAAAGCTAAAGCAAAGTACGTAGGAACGCATGATAAGATAAATAAGGATGTGGAAGATTAGGCAGCTAAAGTGAAAGTATTCTTGATAAACAGCCGAACAGAGTAGGACTGAAGCAGATGCAGAGGCTTTATAAAGATTGAAACAGAGTAAGTGTAAGAATGTTTTCTAGGCGGGTAAAGTGAAAGTAAGTATTTTTGATAAACAGCCGAGCAGAGTAAGACTGAAGCAGATGGAGAGGCTTTATAAATATTTGAGCAGATAAATGTTCGATGAGAAGAGATTGAAACAAACGAGGAAGTCAAGATCATCAAATCAAAGCCCACAAAGGATTTTTTGAGCTCTAGAGTGTGAGCTCACGTAGACGCACGGAGATGGATCCTGATATGGGTTGAGCTCATTTAGCGAACGCGTTGCGTCTCCTCCTTTGAGCTGAGCTGAGCTGATCCTTGATGCGAAGCTTGAGATAGCGAGAATGAAAGACTCGATAACAGGTCATCATCTTCGGCTACTCTCGTATGATCACGATCAAACCCTTTTGAGCACAGTGATTAATGACCAACCTTAATGAATGGATGAGAAAGTCACTCAAAATGGGAAATTCGAATGATCAGACTACCTGGTAGGAAAGTTGCAGGAAGTGGATTTTTTCTCACATTCCTCGGTGGAAACATCTGAGCCATTTTTGCAGTCATGTGCAATCAGAAATCTTTCTTGACAAAGCAATAAGTCTCACAGTCACCTTGGAATTCCCTCTTGCAATTCAACGTCTATCGATAAAAATTGTCTCGCTCATCTAATAGACCCAAAAATGAACTTCCATTGGCTTAGTCTTAAAGTCAAGCAAGAATCATCAAGACCAAAAACAGGATATATTATAATTCCAAAAGCATGAATTATTAGCGAGCAAAACTAGGTAAATCGACCCCTTTACCATCACGTCTCTGTTGAAATTCATCAGAAAATCGATCTAAAGGTTTACCAAAGTAAGGTAAAAAACCCATACACCTAGCTCTTCGAATTGATTTAGAAAGTTTTTTTTGTGATGATTTAGATAAACCAGTTTGAGTTCGATTTTTGATTCTACCGATTGGAGTTAAAAAACTTGATAATAATTCAGGATTATATGGTTCTTTTAATATATCTAATTCGTAATACTTGAATGGATCTGTAAATTTCACTTCTTTTTTTGTTGGTGGTCTTCGGATTACTGGTCTTGGTTTTCTATCTTCTCTGTCTAATGGATGTACCATATTGATCGGTTTTAAATCTGCTGGTTTTAATAACTAAACAAACAATGCCAATTTAGACCAATATCAACGTTGAACAAAAGAGTTTAGCTAGAATTTGAAAGTAAGAAAACACATACTTGAGTTGGGCTGAATGGTATTCTACGAGCTCCATCACTGAAGTTTTTACCTCGGTTAAAGCCTGAAAAAATGATAGTCAATTCATTGTGTCATGCTTTCCATGCAATCCAAAAGTACTTACTGAACGAAGGCAATCCATCAAGTTTCCTATTCTTAGCCTCTCCTTCTATCAGTTGAGATAAAGACATCGTATCATTCGATCTTGATGAAGTTGAAGAAGAGAAACAGCATTGTCCATAACGAGTTACACCTTGTTCGGTTGAAGTTTTGATCGCTGATAAAAATTGATGAGAGCCACGTCCTACGATCGACCAAGATGAAGGTATCATTTCAAAGTATCTGCTGAATTTCCCTATGAGCTTCAGAAACTGATCAGAAGAAGTTAAAGAATTGCTTTTGGCAAAACACAAGTATGCAGGGAATACCAGCTGGCCCTGTAACAAATGTGGTGCCTACCCGTCCCGGTCCGGCTAAGTAGGTCCGACGGATGAAGCACGTGAAGCGCAGTCACATGGGAGCATCGGTCCTCGGACTTTAAAGTTTCATATGTTGATTTTTTTCTTTCGAAAATTTGCGTCCCACTTAGGGCTATGACCCGGCCCCGGAGCTGCGTGGCCGGCCCCGGGGCCAGGTAGGATCCGGCCTCGGCCACGAGGCACTCAAGATGGCCACCGAGGAGCTTCGGGATGGCCCTGGCTCGGCCCAGCCTTTTGTGAGCTCATTCAAGGGCACCAGATCGATCAATTTCAGCATGTATGTAAAGGAAAAACAAAACAAAAACAAAAACAAAACAAGTTAAACAAAGGAGCGTGTAGAAAATTGAAATAAGAAACAACAAGAAAAAAAAATTAACGAGAGTAGAGAAATAAAAAGAAACTACAAGCTCGAAAAAGAAACTACATGGTCAAAACAAACCCCCACGACTTGAGACAAATCTGAGCTTCAAAGTTTTGATTGGTCATACTTGAACGATAATCAGACATCACCCTTGATCCAGCAGAAAAGATCCTTTCGGAAGGGCCACCCGAAGCAGGGATGGCTAGCATGAACATAGCCATCCGAGCAAGTATTGGCCAGTTCGACTGATTAGTTTTCCAGAAGACTAATATGTCGGTGCGTTCATCCACAAGAGGGGCAAGGAGATACTCCCTAACCTTGTCTTCAAGTTGGATAAATTTGCGTCGTTTAATAAAATGGTGTGGTCTGTCGTCATCACTTTCGAGCACGGGGTCCGGTTCAACAATTTCAATATCAGGATCTTGAGCCCGTTTGAAATGACAAGCTTGCTCGGTAAAGTATGCTATAAGTTGATCCTTGCCAAAACCAAGCTCTTCCATAGTAAAAGCGGTCACAGCGTTGAGCTTTCGGCGAGGGTCGAGTATTGGAGAACATATGTAGACCGGTTTCTTCAAAGCTAATGTGGAATATCTGACTAGCTTCTTGACCATGGGACAAATTGCAGCCTTCAGATTGGTACAATCAGATGTGCTCCAAGCCTATGATTGGTAGAAGGATGAGTTAGACATTGAATAAATATGAAAAAGTTAATATGAAAAGACTTACTTTTTTGAGTTTCTCAACAAGCCATTGATAATCAGGCATTGCTTGAGAGAAGGTGGGATAGTCATCACCTTCAATCTCCTTGATGACAATTGCAAGAGGTCGTAGGAATTTGACCAAGGTGCCAACTAATATCCATTCATCTTCGGTGAGGAGGTAAGGTTCTAAGGAATCATTGATGTTGCAATAATATTGCAGGACTTTCTTGAGCTCAAAGAATCGCTCAAGGGAGTAAAACGTTGAAGACCATCGAGTTGAGACCTCGTGGATCAGTCCAACCTTTCGAGGCTGAGAGGAGGATGCGATACATTGGTCAAGCGCCTGTTTGAGCTGAGTGCTCAAACGGACTCGCTTATGAAACCCACGAATTCGAGTTAAGATAGAATGGACTTGGAGATGGGGGGTAGGCTCGATTAATGAAGCAGTTCCATCTGGAAGATCATCGTTGTGATCTTGAGGTAGCTGAGGATCTAAAGCACTGAGAGGATCTGGTGGGGTCTTGCTGTCGAAAATTGAGACTCCAGCTTTGGCGACGAGATTGATGACGTGGGCAACACACCCATGAAGATTCTTCTCATAGTCGAAATGAGGTACAAGAGTCTTGAGCTCGCGTCCCATGGTGATGTTGTTTGATGCATTGTCTGCAGTGATGCAGTAAAGTTTTTCGGTGATAGAAAATTGATCTAAGGTATGCTTGAGGAGGGCGGCCATGTTCTTACCGGTATGAGATCCATCAATCTCTTTCAAAGCTAAAACTACTGATCTCATTTGAAAATCTTCGGTCATCCAGTGCGCGGTAACTCCAAGCATAGGTACACTGCTGGGTGATGTCCAAGCGTCACAGGTAATACTGATATAATCGATTGAAGCGAGAAGGGAAGTGAGTCGATTTCGGCTGAGTCAAAATTGAGCTACGATACCATCGGTGATGGCGGTTTGTTTGGATAGGAGAGGAGCCACGGCAGGGTTAATCCAGCACAAGAGCTCACGGAAGGCTGGGGCATCGACTAAAGAGACAGGGAGTTCTTGCTTGACTATAAGGCGGATCACAGCATTCGTGAGATTTCTTCGGTTGATATTTCCTAACTGGAGATTGAAGATAAAATGAATATCAGCCAGAGTTACGATAAGAAGAATAAAAAGAAATGAAACTAAGAACTTACATTAGATGCTTTCCCCGTTTCTGGAAAGGTCGTAAGGGTTTGTTGAGAAGTGTCAACTGGAGCCTCGATGCGGTGAGCACGTGAGAGGTGACGGATCATCGACTTCGTGCTGGATGTCTTATCGATGGAGATTTCTTCGTTACAAACTACAATAGGACCATCTTGATTGACTTGATCAGCAAAGCCCTTGTTGGCACGACAGATATTCTTGACCGTTTCGTCGGAGAAGGTGACTGTTGAGAAATACTGCCACACCCAAGACGTTCGGTTGGTGGCAGTATTGTCCGATTCGACTGCACTAGCGACAGCGGAGACCGAATCAGAAGGTGCAATAGAGGCAGTTCGACTTGAAGTTGTTGACATAGTGGCATTCAGGTCAGTGACTTCGCGGCGAAGACTTCGGCGGGACATCGAGACAGGATTCCGATGGGGTATTGGGAGTCTTCAGATACGAGGGTGCGAGGGTATGGACTTCGGAAAAGGGTTGAGGGTTACTCAGCAAGCCCTTTACCCTTTTCCGTACTGGAATTTTACCGGCGCCCCGGCCCCGGGAAGCCCCGGGACGGGGCTTTTGTCTCTATAACTTGGTTAGGGCTATGGCCCTGGGCTTGGCCACGACCTAGTTGTGGGAAGCCTCGGGCAGACTCGGCCGGGCAGGGCCAGGGCCGGGTCATAGCCCTAGTCCCACTGGCACAGCCAAGAAAACTGGGCATAAACAAACATCATGAGTTTGGGGAGATGTGATCACAAGCAGTAAACTTACTCTTGATCAGACCCCCAGTGATGATCCAGCCTTGATAATGACTGTACTCAGCTGGCTTATACAGTAGATAAAGTCTGATGTGTACTACCTCCTGACAAGCTAAAAAATTGATTGTGAGCTCAAAAATCACCACCACAATGCTAGACAGGTATGATTGGAAGAAGCGGCTTGTCCAATCCATATGTCCGTGGGATCATCTGAGGCATTGGTTGATCTTGTTTTCACTAGTAGGTCAAAATTTTGGCCCGGGCGTAGGCGGGGTACTGAAGCCACCTACAATGTGTTTCATCATGATTGCAAAGGATTGATCAATGGAGCTCATATTAAAATCAAGCTTGGCATCCAGTGCTTTGATTTTTTGATTGGAGGTGGAGGCTTGGGTGGATTCAAATTGAGGCTTGGAACACTGTGTCCCAAGTTCAGCCTGGCAATGTAGTGCCCAAGATTTTGCTGATTCCTCAGCTATATTGAGCTCAATTTCATATAGCCAATTCACACAGGTGTTTTGTTTGCTCTGAGAAGTCAATACAGCTTGATTAGAGCAACCATGGCTACTAGACCCTTGGGTAATTACCTGAAGAAAATCGAGTCTTTCCTCTCGGCTTCCCACCGAGCTCCCCCTGTAAGACTCCACGACCCACAAGACAGGTCTTGGGGTCTCATTTTGGCCAAGTCCCACACTCACAAGACACGTCTCACCCTGCTACTCCAGATGTGTCTGGAGTCTCCTCGCTGCTGAGCCTTCCAGACACGTCTGGAGTTTTTTTTTTTCGCCAAGTCCCACTTGCAGACCCGTCTGCACGTTTTTTTTCGCCAAGTCACTTGTTTACATACCCCATCTCAACACTCACCCCTCCTCAATCTCAACGCTCATCGACGACATCATCTTCTCAACATCAACCAATCATCGCCGAACGTAAGAACTCACCACCAACTATCTCAATTCCAAGAACTTGACTCCTCGCCATCTCGAATCCTTGGTTTACAACACGTCAATCACTCAACAAGTCACTGAAACGTGCTTCATCAGATTATCAGATTTCCTTCGACACCACCTCTCAAACTTAACTCGATCTTGAATAACCAAACTTTGAATCCATGATCCGAGAGTCCAACTCAAGTTGAGACTCCGGATGATGGATTCAAAGTTTGGTTATTCATGCTTGATTGATAGTTGAAAACAAATAGCAAACATAGAATCATCACAACTCAATTTGTTCACTGGGCTTTGGGAAATTAGCGTATTCATGATAGAATTTGACCGAAAGGGATTTTATTGACGGTAATCAATCAGCTCATGTAATCATCGATATCCATCTCATCGTCACTATCATCTGTATCATCCATCAAGTACAACTCATTCAACCGCATCAAATCATCTACATCATCTTCTTCATCGGCCAGCATCAAGTTCTGCTCAATAATTTCCAGTTCGTCAAGACCCGAAGCTTCAACACTTGTCGCATCGACAATTACTTCCCACAACATCTTACCTCTCCTCACCAGTGCTTGCCAGCGCGCGAACAAGACTAAATTATCATCTTCTGAACACGTAGTGTACTGGAGTGTTGCTCGAAGTAGACGCCCCATGTCAGAGTCCCAATCCATCCACTTGCGGCAATAACTCTGACGCAGGTTACGGTAGACAGTCCTCATCACCTCGACACTTGCTTCCCACACATCTTTCGACACTCTTTGTCCAGGTTGAATGAGCTCAATCAGCTCTTTCCCACCATTATCACGATCCCAATCTATGTAGGCAAATGTGGTTAAATGTGAGTTCTTTACAATTGAAAATCAATTAGCAGGTGGATAGGTCACTCACCGCTATCCAATGAATTATGCAAGCTGTCTAGCTTGTTGTCAGTCTGAAGACTTGCCAAGACCATCTGCCGGACTTCACGCCCTATGCGGCGAAGCTCTTCGCAGCTGCTCCGGTACTTCAAATACGATTGGATTCCTTCAATGGTCCCTGGGTCAACTGCCCACCTCTCCGATGGGTGAGATAGAGGTTCGACATTCCAAAAAATGTCCTCGAATGGTAAAGCTTTGCTCTCGTCTATTTTAGGGCATGTTAGATGACTCAGTGGCCTGATTGCATTATACTTGGTCACTTGGAGCCGATACGACTCCCACTTCCTTTTGAACATCAACTGCTTTCGTGTCATCAGTTTTTTCAAATTTTGTTGAATTTTTGTACCTGTCAAACATATGTATTAGTAGTTGGCAAGATAGTAGCTCGGATCAAGATGACTCACCTTGACCGTTTTTGTCCCATTGCTTTTGTGCAACTATAATTCCAACCTTGGCCTCGTATAACTTCATCTTTGCCAGCCGTACACGAATAAGAGCACGGGCCTTTGGATCTACACAGTTGTTTCTTGTTATCGATGAGGCTGAAGAGTTCATAGGAGTGTAAAAAAGATACTAACCAGTAGCTTGCTTGAGTTTTCGAAAGTCTTCACTACCTAGCTGTTTGACAACATCCCCTATCGCACTTTCCATGGCCACTATCGAAGCTGGTAGAGTGATCGCCGCTTCCTTCTCAGCCTCAGTACGATTTCGTCTCTTTTTTTTGCGTAAGTTGTTGAGCTGGGAACTGAAAGTCCATCAGGTCAGTGAGTCTTGAGCCTTGGTAGGTATCTTACAAATTGGAAGCTCACAGAGCATCCCTCAATTTCTCCTCCAAGTCAAGCAAATTTATCAATTGTTCTTCTAAATTTTTCAGCGTCCCATTTGACATCGCATCCAACTGACATTTTTTCTGTCTTTCCCATTGATTCGAAAAGTAATCGGTCGTGTACTCGGGATTCTGAGTTTGTAGTCTCTGTAAGACTACTTTAGCCTCTGCAAGAGTCTTCTCAGCAGTACTTAGTTTTGTAGATGCGGATTGAGCTATCAAAATTCAATGTAAGTCTCAGTCATTCAGATACTTTCAAACATTTCTACACAAAAAACACTTACCCGCGTTAATGGCCAAAACTTCGTTTCGATGGGTGGTTTTCAAATTGATACCATCCATTCGATGTTGCTTTGTTGCATAACGGTTTGGACTGATCAACGGAGAAAGATAACTCCAATTCCTTTCCAAGCCTTCGCCATCCAAAAGGCCCCACCCCTTGTTCAGTCTTGGATTGTAGAGAAGCTGACAAGACCATTCATGCACATATGCATGGAATGCACTTGTTCCAAACTTAAGTCCATGCCTTTGACATTCGTCTTGGAATAATTTGTTCTAAAATCAAACACCGGTGAGTTGGTGAGTAATGAAAAGGAGCAACATATAAAAAATAACTCACCTTGTGAATACTTTTCTCCAAAGTACATCCTATATCATACAGAACACCCACTCTTTTTTTTGGCTTATCAGCTTCGTAGATCCGTTCAAAAAGTTGATCAATCATCGCAAGGACATAACACTGCCTACATATGTGGATAGATCATGAGTAAAACATTTATAACTATGATCAAAGCTTGAAGCTTACCGTTCACCTGTCTGGACCACATTCACGTAGGAAAGGATGTGATCGTGTCAACAAGCCATTCCAATAAGGCCTGTCTCATCACATCCTTTCCACGTTGCACCACCTCTGTGATCGGCAGCAGCAGTGTGCTGAGCACTACAGGGATCCTGAACAAAAGAATACATACTAAGTTAGAACAATTGAAAATGTATGGTTCCTGTGAATGTATAGCTTGATTTCTTTCTTGAAATGACATACTGATTTGATTGCATCCTTGTTCTTTTTAATTCCTCCTACCTCCCACTCAACAACCTTCTTCGGATCAATGAACAGAGAAGGTATAATGATTTCTTTCTCCTCGTATTCCTGGCTAGCAGCTTTGTGTCGGCGGTGTTGAAAATTACCGTCAACACACACCACATAGTGAGGCGCATCCAGATCTTCACTATCGTTCTCATAATCTTGAAGGGGGCCAAAACATCTTGGGCAGTTCTTTGCCAACTGCTCGAGAGAAGTCAGTTTTAATGCCTTTATCGAAAGCTCGTCTTCCAGTCTCAGCATGTGTCTATAAGCGTCGATGGCCAAAGAAAAAGTTTGCCGCCACCGTCGAGGCTACATTAAACACATCGACACATGTGTATCAGTCAGTAAGTAAGTGATTAAATTAAACAATGACATATTGGAATCACCTTATTCGAACCATTCAAACCCCTTGCTAGAATGAGTGCATTGAATGTGTCGAGAAACTCATCCAGAGCAAGGGAAAATCCTTGCGTACGAACGGTGCAGTACTTCCATAGTATATGATGAAAACGAAGAAGACGGATTGAATAGGCCGTTTGAGGGTGAATTGGAGACCCACCAATGTATCCCTGTCGGACTAAACGAACTTGATCGCATGTACACTTGCAAAAGGTGACCTGCTCCTGCTTTCGTTCTATGCGATCAAGAAATCACATTTGTAAGTCTACGATCAAATGAAATCAAACAAATCAAAGCAAGATGACAAACCCAGTAGGTCAACTATATCCACCGTTCGAGTGCGTATGTCTCCTTCTCCACATGAACACGTCACATTGCGATCTGAATTCCAAGATTGGTTGTTTCCCCATTGCGAGGTCTTTTGAGAACAGATCATATAGGTGAGGAACATTGGACCAAGAACTTTCGTCCAATTTCTGGCTGCCGATAGTTGCTTTTTCTTGTAGTAAGTACCACGTATGTATTCTACAAAGGTAGACTCAGAATTTGGCGGAGCTTCTTCAGTAGTGTCAGAATTTGATAATAAATTAATATTATTCGTTTGCTCAAGAGGATGATCGGTTTCTTCATCTGAGCTTCCTGTCGGATCGATCACTGGAGCTTCAATCGGGTGATGAACTTGTGGTCTTGCAGCGATAGCCTCTTCAATTTGACCTATCCGATTCTGAACCCAGCGTGACTCATTTGCCTGAAGTTCAGCGACAACTTGAGCTGAGCCTTCTGGTACCTCTGGCTTGCGTTTTTTCTTTTGAGGTCCAAGTGGGCATTGAATAGTACGGCCCTTTGATGGCATTTTTGAAAAAATAAAACAAATATGAATACGCTGGCCAAAAGCAATAACCAATAGCTTTAGCTTGAGACCTCAATGGCTTTTTTATTTATTCATTTTATCCAAGGGGTACGTGTTCTACTTTCATTCTTCCCGATTAGTTATGACTGAATTGAGATGTTCGTTTTGGTACTGTCCGTTTTGGTACCTGTTCACCTGCGGTTTTCATTGTCTCAAAGAAACTATACCACGGTCATATTCATGACTTTGGCATGTTCATTGGAATGAAGCGCTTTGTCAGACTGACCAGCATCATACCTACAATGGAAAACAGTTTGATTTCCTCCTTTACACATAGAAAACAATGGATCAGCAAGCAAAGAAATATGGATCAGTAAGCAGAGAAATATACGTGAGTGGTACATTAATATTGATGGCTTTTTCAATGGCTTTGTTGACGTAGGAAATCTTGATAAGTAAATTGTGATAACACTTTATGGGTGTTATCATAAGAAGATGGTTCTAGGGGTAATCAGTGCCATATATATATCTTAATTGCAACAATCATTCATATGATATCTCTAATTGAGAAAGGTCTTTGAATGACTCGTGCTTTGTAGAGAGTGAAACTCTTACAAGTTGTATGTGCACAAAAGATGCACAGCTCATCCAATATTGATCCAAATTGAATAAAGTTCTTATGAGAATTGTTCAGATATAAATTTGAAGATGGTTTCATTTTGAAACTTTGGACAAAAAGCGTCATCATTGTTGTTTTTTTGCGGTAGAGGTCATTGAAGCCCCTTGTCCACAAACCTCAATAAAACCACAAAACCCCTGTTAATTCAGTGGTCATTGGTTAAGACGGGTTATCTGATATTCAAAGCTGTTTAGAATGTGCCATAAGTGCTCCTGACAAAAAATCTCCCTTCCTCCAACATGAGATCATTTGCTTGAATGGTGTCATGTTGTTATATTTGACGTTAAATCAACAAATATGTGCTTTTAAGAGCTCAAAATTTTGAGAAATTTCAAAGTCATTTCCAGGTTAAAGTTCAATAACAAACCCCCCCCCAAAAAAACATCAGGAATACACTGGAACAGCTCCCGAAGCCAAAAGACAAAAATTGGCTGAGATATAGTCTCAGCAAAATATGTGTTAAATTTCGAATTGCCCATAAGTGTGTCAAGATGGTGGTTTGTCAAAGAAAGCTATTATTAAATGGAAAATGAAATTATTTTTACTACAACTTTTATTATCAAAGTTTGAATTTTGGACCAAAATTGAGCAAGATATGCGCACTTTGTAACATTTACAGCACCCCAGAACTACACAAACATCCCCTCATGACCCCCAAGACATCATTTTTTTCGGAATATTCACAATAAGACTCTGAGTGGAATTCTTTTTAATACAACTTTCATTATCAAAGTTTTAATTTTAGACCAAAATTGAGCAAGATATGCGCACTTTGTAGCATTAACGGCACCCCAAAACCACACAAAATTCCATACAGGACTATCAATGAATGTTTTTTTTTCAAGAAAGGTGTTATTAGACCCTCATTGATTTTTGTTCCTGTACAACTTTTGTTTTTGAAGCATTCAGTTTGTACCAAATTTGAGTGAGATATACACTTCAGGCTTTGCAGCTAAAAGATGTGCATCGGAGAAATCCAGAGATGTAGTCATGTGATCACGTGACTACATTTTAGGGTCTTTGTCAATACTTGACAGTTTGGATAAGGACCTGATTTTCCATCCGAAGGGCTGTACACACCCAGGCCTTCTGCTCACACGGTTTTCACAGCTTAAATAACGACACCAACAGCTCACACGATTGAACATCAAACTAGAACCTTTGATCTCACAAGTCACCAGTTCTCTCAGGTCCTCTCGTATCATTAAATTCCTGGCCAATTTATCAAGACGTACACCTGTATCAAACTTCGAGTCCAAAGTGCAAGTTTCTTCAAATTTTGTTGAGTACAACTCATCATCAACTTATTCTTTTATATCCCTCTTCTTTCGACCCTCACAATCATCTCAAAATAAACTCACTTACAATCACCATCTCATTTACACTGTTGATCTTTGGTTTTGGTTCTTCTAGGCCTTTGGATTCCTGAACGGCAATCATCAATCTTGAACAATTCAAATTCAACTCACATAATCATCAATAGCTCATAGATAATCACTCTTGAATCATCGTTAATTCTTGTGTTTAGGACGCTATCAACACAATGGTTCAAATAACTAGATCAGGAGCTCAACAACCGTCTCCAACTAATCAGTCTTTGTCAAACATGTCAAAAGATGCCCGTCAGTCCACAACATCACAATCGAAAAAAAAATCAAACAAACGTCCGGCTCCAGCCAAATCGACTAGAGACAAATCCAAGCGTATTCGAGCAGTCGTCGATCCGGAACCTATCAATACTCAGACAGCAACGATTGACACTGATGATGACAATATGGACGATGATGATTACACCCCTTCGGACAGGCTTGATGATATCAATGACGACGATATCAATGACGAAATGGATGACCCTTTCTCTCTGCCTCCACCACTGCCTCCTCGCCCTGATCTTGAGCAAACTCAACCTTCCTCCGGGACGCTTCCCCCTCCCCCTCTACAAAATCCGAGAACAAATGTGTCCGACTCGGATTCTAGCTTACCCACCATCTCCACTTACCAGCAAGTTGCCAAGCAATGGCCCCAAACTCGAATCTCAAATTACACTCGGGGTAAGAAGCTTGATAATGTGGTCCCTGAGAAAATTTTGGTCGAGATGCAAGCTATTCAAGAGCTCTATCATCATCACAAGAAAATGTTGGCAATGATGGGAAATATAAGTTTATATACTCTTAACAAAGCAATGTGAGTCACCCTCTTGACACACCACCTGTGAAGACGTCGATTTCTGATTTGACCTATTAATCAGTGGCGAGGTTGGAAGGAAACGAAAGCAGGATGGGTTGCATTTATGGCTCAGTTATGGTATCGATGCTCTCAATTATAAAAGTAAGTGAACAACGGCTGTACAATTGGTATGTTGAACTGACATCATTACACTCCGTTGTTATAGTGCCACGTTCATCAGAGATTGGTGCACTCGGTCAGCGAAACAAAGACCTTTCAACAATGTGGAAGGCTTACCCGGTCGAGCGTCAGGAAGTTTTTCAGCCTCATATCTTCTACTATTTATCAGGCCTGCCTCAACCTCCACGAAAGTCTGACGACAAAGCTGATCATGATGAAGAAGAATTGATTCAAAGCTTAAGTCCTGAGGAAAGAAAAGAATTGCAGACTTTATATGATGAGATGGTATGTGTTGAAAAGGTCGCAACTGTTTATGCCAAAGTGGCTGCTGGGAATCCAATAGGCAATTCGCTCCCTGAATTCAACCGAAAGTCGCTCAAATGTGTTAAACAGTTGCACGATCAAGTGAGTTATTTGTTTCATCTTATATTTTATTATCTATCTATCAACTTCAATTTTCATTTCTGCGTGTAGATCCACAACGAGTCCAACAATATGTGGTTTGCATACTATTTTATTGCAGCTGCTACTCACGCAGCCTCCGATGGTAAATTGGCGGAGCCTGGATGGTGCAAGGAATACACCTCTCACAAGGAGATGGCCAACTACGTTGTAAACAAGGCCAACTTTCCAAGGATGTTTGCGACTCATGTGCAAGGCCTGGCGGTTACTGAAGTGGTTTCACAACAGAATGGAAAGGGTACTAAGGCTGCCACAAAGACAATCACACCTACCGATTGTGTCAAGGGAGAATTATCTGCTGGTTTGCGTCAGGAACTAAGTAAGTTCTCCTCTCACATCAATCAGCTGGATGTATTGTACTGATGAAAGATCAACAGAATGATTACTTAATGCTAGTCCTGCTAAGGGATTTCCTTGTGGCCCAACCCTCACGATCTTCTAAAAAAAAGGTATCCTCGGTTCAGGATTGTTCAGCATCCTGGGTCAAAGCTTACGCCTGAAGTATTGAAGTTAGGCTTCAAGGGTATGAATAGCAAAAGAAATCTTTGGCTTGATGATTTGAACAATGGTAAATTTGAGCTACAGAAAATTCCCGATGAGCAGATTGACAAAAATAAGGACAGTGAAGATGATAGCGAAGAGGATAGCGAGGAAGAGTGGGGCGGATTGGGTGATTTTTAAACAATTTTCAAATGCCAACTCTTATATTTTTTCTATTTCTCAAATTTGTCTGTTTTAGTTTTCTCACAAGATTGGCCTGGTGTTAAAGACTCGTATTGGATTCATAAAATATTGGCAAAAAACTCCTTTGGAGTCTTATCTTTGTTTTGAATCAAATGAAATGTGTTTTCAATATAAAATAGTTCTATTGATTGTAATTTCATAAAATGAGTTAAGTTTTCTTTCATCTATCGATCGTATTTCAAAGTATTTGTTTCCTTTTTCATTTATGATTCTATATATTGATTGTATGTCAAACGATTGGCTTCATTTTTTCATGTGATTCTATCACCCAAATTGTTTTTTTATATCAGTATCTATTTCAATTAAATATTGAGTGAATGTGAGATGCTTTAAAAATTAACACATATCTCTTCTCTCATGTGGCCCATGGGGACAGTATATGATACAAACACACCACCATGGACTAATTTGTATGATTCGACCCCTATCTGTCACTTTTCATTGAAAATCTGATAAATTTTGAGTCTACGTAGCACAAATTGTTTTTATTGATCCTATAGGAAAAAAATGAAAAAAAGAGATCATGGTCTAAAGATATAGAATTCCCATCGATCTAGATTTGTCTTAATTGATTCATTGGCCTCATCTTTGACAAATGATAGTTTTCTGATTAGTTGTTGGATCTTCGATAATGAGTTTGTTAAATCTTGAATTACCAAACTTTGAATCCATCATCCGGAGTCTCAACTTGAGTTGGACTCTCGGATCATGGATTCAACGATTGGTTATTCAAGATTGAGTTAAATTTGAGAGGTGGTGTCGAAAGAAATCTGATCGTCGTATCAGTGATGTGATGGTGGTAGTTTGGGTGATTTGAATTTACTTCAGTGACTTGTTGAGTGATTGACGTGTTGTAAACCAAGGATTCGAGATGGCGAGGAGTCAAGTTCTTGGAATTGAGATAGTTGGTGGTGAGTTCTTACGTTCGGCGATGATTGGTTGATGTTGAGAAGATGATGTCGTCGATGAGCGTTGAGATTGAGGAGGGGTGAGTGTTGAGATGGGGTATGTAAACGAGGGACTTGGCGAAAAAAAACGTGCAGACGGGTCTGCAAGTGGGACTTGGCAAAAAAAAACTCCAGACGTGTCTGGAAGGCTCAGCAGTGAGGAGACTCCAGACACATCTGGAGTAGCAGGGTGAGACGTGTCTTGTGAGTGTGGGACTTGGCCAAAATGAGACCCCAAGACCTGTCTTGTGGGTCGTGGAGTCTTACAGGGGGAGCTCGGTGGGAAGCCGGGAGGAAAGACTCGATTTTCTTTGGGTAATTACCCAAGGGTCTAGTAGCCACAGGTGAGAGCAACTCATATCACTGGTGATGGAGATCACTTCTGGCATGAACATGTCAGCATTGGATGAAGCCAAAGTCTGTGCTTTCTTGACCTTTTGAACACTTAAATTTCCTCCTTCAACTGCTGAGTCAACACCATGTGCATGCTTAGTTGCAAACAATTTGCAACAATCCTCTGCCAAGAGTTCTCTCTCCTTATGTGCCATACTGACCTCATTATTAGCCATTTGGAGAGAACCTCTGGTCTGGGTTGACCAATATACAAATCATATCCCTAAGAATTGGTCAGAGCTTGGATGATAGGGCTTGGTAAGTAAAAAATACAGTCAATTCAGAAAAACTTGTCACAAATTCCCAAACTTGCTTGAGTTTTGCAGGCAAAGTTGGTCAAGATTTTATGAATTGACTGTATGTTGAGATGATTTGCAGTTTCTTTGTGTTTGACTGCTGCAATAAGCCTTCAGAGCTCAGCATTATCTTCCTTGGTCCCACTTCATCTTACTCCAGCCCTTGGCTGCTGCAAGCCAGGTCCACAATTGCATATATATTGTGACTGAAGAACTCGGCTTTTTCATTAGCAGACAGCACATGAAGGTATTTGTGAGTCCCCTTCTTTGCCTGGTGTAGAAGATCTCCTAAAACAATGACCTCCAGAAAATTAGCACATTGCTGGAATATGTTGCTGTTTTAGCCAGCGGTCCAGAAGGGGCTCAGTCCCTCCCAAGATCTCATGATGATTCACCTTAAGATTCAAGTCTGGATTATAGTACGAAGATAGTATTTTTTATCCACACTTTGTTTTTGAACCTCAATAACTCAGTCAATTTACATGGTAAGGTTAGTAGACTATATATCCTCGGTAGGGAAATACAGGAGCAGTTCTGTTCAGATTTATGATGCCATATGAGATCACCTCAATTTTGGTGGCATCTCAATCACTTCTCAATAAATGGGTGATATCCTTTTGAAATCCAATTCAAATCCAATTCAAAACATTCTCAAGTAGCCAGGATGCACTGGCCTCCCCCAAACAGCACCAGATATAGAACTTGGCAGAGTGGATACGGCTGAGATGATACATGTAGTCATCACCTCAAGGTGTTACCTGAGCAACTTTCCAGGGTATCAATTGCAGACTAGGCAGGTTGAAGTGAGTGGAGTGAGATACACTTTGCAAAAATTGGTTGGAAGGGTAACATCCAGGCCAATACCGCAAGTGCTCCACAACTTATTGTGGTTGTGTTGCATTTTTGAGGACTGCAATGGCCTCACTATATATTGCAGGTTCAGCGCACCACAATCTGGGCTTGAAACCCCCCGGTCCTCAAAAACTGCACCAAAACAGTGGTTCACCCTGCTATATTGCGGATATAGCGGAGAAAATACAAGGTCTCTTTTTTGTGTGTTTTGTCTCCAAATCCTGTGCAATATTCCGGCAATATTGCCCTTTGCTGCGCACTGCAACCTTGATATAATTTTTTGAAGAAAAATTGTGGTATGTTTTGTAGCGCTTTATGTGCTGACTCCACAACACAACAGAAATGGGCTGAAATTCATTGAATAGCATTGCAGTTTTGGTGTTGTTCAGGCCATGCAAGTGTATTAGGCTGGCATGGTTGAAGTGTGCAAATGGGACCAAAGAGAATGTAAGATTCCACAGGGATTTGTACTCATGCATGTCAAGGAGCTGTAAGACAAGTAATAGGAAAGGTAGGAGACAAGTGTCCTAGTAGAGGTAATGTGCAATGCTTGGTCAGCACAGTTTTACTCCTTGCTTGCAAGATTGAAAAATTGGACAAGGTTGGCCAGTATCAGACGTCTTACAAGTTGGGGGTGTTCCTCATTGAGCCAAGTGGTAAAGTCAGTGACAAGCATGGTTGCAAAACATCAAATGTAAAAGACAAAGGGATTAAGCAAGAAACCAGGTAAGTTAGTGGATCATCTCTGGCCAGTTCTATTGGAGAAAAATGAATTGGAAAGTGACTTGCTAAATAAAACAAGTTGATAAACTTAGGTTGTGGTCTTGCTTGTTGCAGTGAGTGTTGATAGAGCCTGAGTGGGAGGGTAGACAATGTGGTACAAAACTGCAGTAGGTACAGCGCTGGGGGACAGGTGGCATGATGTTGGTATATATAGAGCCTACAAATATAGGACAGATGACCAGGTCATGTTTGCCGTGTGCAAGCACATGGATGATGGAAGACCCCATGTTATGTCTCTGGTTACAAAAGGGTTTAAATACAAGCATAAATGCAGGGCTGTACGCTGCTTTTACAAGGATTTATCAGGCAAGGTCAGTTTGCTTGACACAGGAAAAAAAGAAGGATTTTCCCCATGGTAAGACAGATCACACTTAATGCAGTTTCTGAGCCAAAACACAAAATGACACAAATAATGCCAAAACAATACATTTTGGGTCATCAACTGTGTTAAATACAATGGGTTTTCTCCACATGGGGCCTGAAGCCACCCTCCACAGAAAACAAACTCAAAAAGCATACATGAAATTTGTAGACAGGTTTCATTTGATGACACATATGTTTTGCTCAGCATTCACTCACAAGTCACAAGACATGTTGAGAGAATTGGCCCAAAAGTTGAAGACCAAGATGATAAGTAATCCAAAAAGTAGGCCGAGCAAGATAATGAATGTTCAATGCGCAAAGAAGAGTTGTCACCTGGAGCCGAAAGTAGTTGTTTTGTCTATGTAGCAATGCAAGTCTGGGAGAGTTGAGATCTTCAATGACAAATTGGCTTCATACGCACGCTCAGAAAATTTACAGCGCGCCCCCACATTGACAATAACGCTGATTATCCCTCCCGAGACCAGCAAGACTTGTGAAAAGTTATGTTGTATTGCATCTTTGAGTTTCGATGGCCAAAAATACATATGTAGTACAACTTCAAAAATCGAGACGAAAAATGCTTCAAGCCAATCCTAAATCTTTGGCCAACCTATTATATCAAGAGGTCATAAGAATAGTATGATAATGATCAACCAAACGTTAGTAATAAAATTAATTCAAAGATATATAAATGTATATCTCACATTGCACGACAGATTGGATGATAAAAATTTTCGTTGGCCTTAAAAGTCTTTTGAGCTAATTCAGAATCCACTTTATACAAAGCTCGATAAGTCGGTCTAAAGAGAGCCACTGAAGTCAATCTTTCTCTGGTCTCTCGTCATCAAACAAATCAAATTCCTCAAAATCTTACCTGGCAAATTTCATCCTGCCTTTATCCGATACCCATTTACTAGCTTGTTGTGTAAACAAACCAGCCTTAAGAGCATTTGAATACCATCTTAACCTGATTTCTTGATTAGTTGATGAATCAAACCCGTAGACTTTTTCCATCAATTCTATCAACTCTTTGGGTAAGGTTTGATCACTATCCAGCTTCTCAAGGAATACCACTGTGAGTGACATATAGTCAATGTGGTTAGCTGTCTTGGTTCGCGATTGTGTCGCCTAGTGATGTTGACATGATGAAGGCTGTGAGTATGTGTGAATTTACTTACCAATCTGATTAGAACTAAACTGCGCGATATCTGATCGCTCAAAGAGTCTTTTCTCTGGAGCATCGCAGGCTTCCTGCCATCGCGCTGCCAATGCATAGGCCTGTAAATCCAACATTAGCACTCCACTTCTTAGACTGCTACAAAGACTTGGGATGCCGGCAAGGTCGAGAGGGCCTTGGACTTACCGCGTCAGCCAAGGAGGTATCATATTTCAATTCAACCGGTAATTCTAATCCTTGTCCATGTAACCAAGCCTGAAAAAATCAAAGATCAGCACGGCGAAAATATGACCCATCTGACACAAAGAAAAGCGTATTGATACTCAACTTCCCAGTCCACCGATTCCAGCTTCGCAAGTGCTACAGGGTCATTCTCAGAGAAATACCCCAATAAGTGAGCCTTCCACATCTTCGTGTCTAATGATTTGCCTTTGAATGCTCGCACATATGCTCCCACATATGGTAGAAACACTTTCAATCCACCCACGACTTGTTCAAGATAGAGCAAAAAATTGGCACCCTCTGGAGATGCAAAGTTACGGTTTGATCAATAATTCGCCCTGAACGCAAGCAAGATAACACAATGAAACTTTGAGCTCAACTATCATAAGGTACCGTGCTGAATGCTAAATCCGGATCTTCCCCAAACTCATACTCTATCTCTAGCTGTTGAAACCTAGGCTGATCCTAATTACTCAGACAATCAAGCAATGTGTTGCGCGTCAGACATACTTCCGATCCACTCACAAAACGGATAGATGCACACCTTAAATTCTCTCAAAGCGTCATTCAAGGCTTTCTTACCAATGATATAACTAAACGATCGTTCTGGGTCACCGTGTAACTCCCGTAGGATCAACCTTTCGAGATAAGTAGTGAAGCCTTCGTTCAGCCAGAATGAGCCCCAATTTGCACAACCAACCTATATAAGAAATTATCGTAATCAAAACCTAGACATCTTCGGCAGATACTGAATCATAAGCAGAAAAGACTCACATTGTTACCAAACCACTGTTGACAATTTGATAGTGTTCAGAAAAAGAACTTCAATGAGAGTTTTGGTGACGAAGACAAAATTCACAATAAAGGAACAGAGAGCTCACTGACGGAATGTGATATTTCATGTGCAACTACATCCACCAAACTTTTATCCCCCGTCAACAAGCTCGGAGTCAGAAAAGTCAAGTTGCTCTAAAATCAAACAAAGACGAAATCTTCACTAATATCAATCTTTCAGTTCTACTTCAATAATAAAGGCGCTACTGACGTTTTCCATTCCACCATACGGGAATGATGGAGGTAAGACGAGCACATCGAATCGACCCCAGTCATAATCAACTCCAATAATCTTTTCGGCCGCAGCCACAAAACCTTCAGTTGAGGTCGCAAACTCATCGTACGCTGCGTCAATCGTAGCTGGGTCAGCCCATACACCTGTTCGCTAATCAGCCCCAGACCAGAATGATAGTGAATAAGAATCCATATAAGTTTGTAGTTTTATCACTGATAATAACTTACCTTGCCCATGGACCGGAAGACGAGTTGACCAGCTGAGATAGCAACAAGGTAGCTCGGTATTTTTACAGGTTGTTCAGCTCGCCATTCTCTTACGACGTTTTTATCAATCGAAACAGCTTGATTGGTTTCACTGGAGTTCAATCCGGAAAACAGGACAGGTAGATATGAGTGAGCCTGTAAAGAAGGAATGCACGAATCGCATTAAATCAAATTAGCGCCAAGTCCTGGTTTTGGATATATGAGCGTAGAAGGCATGAGGATTTGAACAAGGCAAACCAGAGCTGTGTATGTAAATTTAACACTTGGAGTATCTTGGATTGGGACCAATGAACGCGCATGGATTGCTTGACATTGTGAATAGAGGAATGGATGCTGGCCTGATGCTGTTTGACTTTACAATACAGTGAACATCGTCAGAAGATTGATCTTGATGCGGGGCCCGTAATCCAAAGATCGAGAAAGGATTTGATACTGACGCAGGATCAAGCCATCCTATTGCAGTACATTGATCGGTAGTGGTATATTTGATTTGCAACGTAATTTGGTCTCCTGCCGCCAATGTATTTGGAAGTTCAATGGTCAATGGGGACCCAAGTACTTCATGACGGTCGCCCAAATGTGTCTAATGGCGAGTGTATAGTGTGAGCTAAAGCAATTCCAAGTAAACCACATGCAAAAAAAGACTGAAATCCGACGGACTTTTAAGATAGTTTGATCGGTGAGACGAGGATTCAAGATTGAAACTTGATGTATGATAAGATAAGAAGTATCTAAAATGATTTCTTTAACTTCTGAATGAGCTTTGAAGGTATGAGCCACTGAACCATCTATGGTAAACTTTTCCCAATCTATAGTCCAATCGAAGTGACTGTTGTATGGAATGATTCAGTCAGTTTGGATTGATATTGTTGGTTTAAATTTGATGATAAGCTGGAATTCAATTGATCACCAACGCATGTATGATTGAGATTTCTCTGTAGTTTGAAAAACTTGCTGGGTCCTGAGGTGGACTATAACTCATTTTCGCTTTGACTTGTCGGAGGCTCTTGACGTGACGAGGGTGGATTTGATGTTTTCTTATATGTAGGATTCGAATTGAAATGGTAATCAGGAGAATGGCGATTAGGAGATCAATCAATGGTAATCAGGAGAGTGGTAAACAAGGAGGACATCGATCGATCCGACGGACGAATGATCGGTCACTGAAAATACGTCATAGTGACATAGACTAATGTCGAGTCTATCAAATACCATAACCCATAACCATAGATCTGTGTAATTCACCAAGCTGTTCCTTCCGTTTTACCGAATTGACACGATCGAATCGAACAATCAAACGACTCCAACTCAACCCAAACACTTTCGAACCAACAAGAACAAGAACAAGAACAAGAACATCATGCGAACTTTTAGGATCTTAAAACAAGAAATCACAAATGCTAAACCAACTGTTAATCGTCAACGTCAAACTTCAGCTGATGCTTCAAAGTATCATGTAAAACCTTCATCAGCTTTTTGGGAGAAGTTCAGAGAAAAATTAGTAGTTAATCCGTTAGTTCAATCATTATTCCTATAACGCAAAAGCGATCCGAATCTGAATGTAGTGTTTTTTGGATTTGTTAAATAAAAGTGAATTTTCATCAGGTATGCCTTTAAATGAAGTAGTACGATCACCACCACCTGCATCAGTTACAACAGTACAAGTTACACCTGCTTCAAAAGCTTCAGATCCAGCTGAAAATGATTACTTCAAAAGAGATTTTAGAAGAATGTATCCTAAACTTCAAATGATTGATCAAACTGAATTATCTAAACTTTTGATCAATGCACCTCAACAACTCAAGTTTGTAGTATCCTATACTTCGAAAAGATCATTTTGATGTATCAATTCTAACCTCTGGATGAAAATTTGACAAACAGATTACCTGGTACTGCTTATAAGGCTGCCACCGGAACAGATGCAGTCGTATCAGCAGACTCAAATGGGAACGGTCCTTCTTTATCAGCTGTACTCTTGAGTTCTACATCCTCGACTACAAGTTTTCAACCTCCCACTCCACCTGGAAAACCTTGTTAAGTGTTGATTTTGATTTTACAAGTGATCGATTTCATTCTTTACTTATTATGTTTTCAATCTTTTTTAGATCGTTACACAAAGGTTGACTCAGCACCACATAATAAAGATGCTTATTTCCCCATGTAGGTCTTCATTCTTGAATCTTGATGTCAGAAAGTCCAACCCATCTGATGCAATCAATGGCTTCTTTATATATGCTCCCTAGGATGAACTATGCTTGAACATTTCAGCTTGTTAAAGATAGAACCATATGTAACAAAAAAATTGGTAAACAGGCTTTGTGTTTTGGCTTTTCAACCGATGAACAAAGTACAAAGGTTCATCAGCGGTGTGAGATTTCATGATTGGTTTCCGCATATCTTGAGGTTTGGTTGAATTATATATAGATGATGGATGAAGGAGACAGACAAGGTCATTGGCAGATTTCACATGTCTATTCTCTTCTGAATCCAGGCCTATTTGAGCATGTATAACATTGCAGGCAAAACTTGATTGCTTTGTCTGACTTATTCGAGTAGTCTGAGTCCATAGACAGATACTTATAATAAACTTACTCTGGCACCCTGCTGGGTTCTTGAAGACACCTGTGGTCTCAACTCAAGGCCCACCATGAAAGTGTGGCACAAACTTGGCTCCTATGGATTCAAAGGACACGAGTCCCCGATGAGAAGGATTTAATGATACAACCTTCCTGACGCTCAATCCAAGTCTTTATTCAACCACATTCGGTGATATCGACTTTGTAAATGTGGCACTGAGAGTCAAGAAGTTCAGGAGTTCAGATTTGAAATCCATTGCCCTTCTTGATGCAAGGACGGAAAATGAATTCACAGATGTGGTAGGGACTTTTGGGTAAACAGCTGGCATCAACACAATATAAGTGGTTGAAAGGGAGCCTGACTCCGAAGCTTCGTTGTGCTCGAAATGCCCACAACTTTTACCCGCAATTTTTTTTACCACATAGCCTCATTCCAGGTCCTGGTGGTGGTGTGGTGGGATTTGTAGATGTGTAGACGCCCTTTCAGGCAATTATTGTCATACTGAGCATCTATCTTGCATGATGGATGTCTGAAGCATTGAAATTTGATGGATGTGGGCAAATCCTGGTAAATGCCAATGAAAAACTTCTTCGGGCAAGCGCAAGAGAGCCTGATGCAATAAGCTTTCTTGACGCTATCGCATGAATTTCTTTGCATCCTACAAAACACGGTTAAATATCTATTTGCAGGCTTGCATCAATAATTGGTCATATCTCTAACGTGAGCCCATCGGATCCAACGAAGGGGGGTTTGCGCAGGCTTGAGTACCGGAACCGGGGGATGGCCTTATATAGCAATCGTACTTGGATTAATATTGATGGGAAGCAAAGTGTTTTAGGCAAATTACTCATCCACATGGATAGAGTGATTAGGAATTCTATGGAGCTTTTGAACCGAGATGGCGCTTTTGGAAGGTTTGAAGGAATGGACGCATTGATGACAAGTGAACCATTTGAGTCCCTTTGATAGAAAGCGGTAAGATGGACGAAGAGTCAAAAGTACATCCATCGGATTTGTTATTTCTTCAAAAACAAAAAAAGTCGAGAATCAAATTATTAACAAGTCCGACTTTGATTTGATGTTTTCAACCATAACTAGCTTGGAAGCATCGCCGGGTTTGGTACTCACAAGGATAGTCATCGGTGGAAAGTAAATCACAAATCTGGTTGGACTCTGTTGTGAATTATGTTCCATCATAAATATTGCTCGATGCTCTCTGAAAGCGCCTTATACCCCCAACCTTATCGATATTATCCTTGCAAACCAAAGCAGCAGATAGAATCAACATCCTTATCATTCAATTCCCACAAACAAACTTTCCTAAAACCTTCCTCAATAAATAGTACTCCTTTGGATTTGCAAATTCCTTTCTTCAGTATCGCATCTTCGTCATCACCATCCAACAAACAAAGACAAGAAATATGGATCTTAATCATCAAGCTTTGAAATACCAGGTAAGCCTCATTTCCAGCACTCGCCACAGTATCAAAGTCTTGATATTTATTCTCTTTTGCTTCTCCTTTTCTTATGGCTGATACCTTCCAGACACTCGAGTTGCGAGAAGAACTTGACGGCAGTGAGATAGAGGATCTTCAAGACTATCAAGCTGATCATCAACTCATCAAAGACCATAGTCGTGAAATAAGTCTTAACCTACGCTTCACTTCAAAAGGCCACCAAAGCGCCGATTCATTAGCATCAGAAGGACCAGAACTAGACAAAGACACAGTGGAAATAATCAATAAAAATAAAGAGCAACTTGAAGTTATTCAAGATATCATCAAATCCGCTACTCCTGAATCGATTCTCAGTTTACATTGGGATGTAGGACGAGATCACACCGGTCGATGGATTCCTTTTGATCTCTTTGATCCAGAGACTCCCGGTTACGCGATTCATGCGAGGAATTTACTTCAAACTGTTTCTACCTTTACCAATTTAAACACCCTTGAATATGTTTCACATGATACTTCTTCGAGATTTGAAGATGAAATTTCAAAGACGGTTCAACTGTTACCTCATCTCGAAATTCTTGTGATTGCTCGTGTATGGATAGATGTACAAGGATGGGATCACGATGACACTTTTGAGCAGGACGACGAAATGGAGATGAGCAAATTGATTGGACAGAGACTTAGTTCGTTGACAACCCTCAAACGATTGCATCTACAAGGCCTCGTAGCACCCCGGGCATCCTGGGGTGAATTGGATTGGAAATCACCTTTGGAATATTTGAAGGTGGCCGAGTGCAGCTGGCTTTTCGGACTTGCCGTCTTTCCATTCGCCCGTGCTTTTCAAAAAACTCTCTTGGGTCTAACCATTGGTTGTACTACACCTCGTAACATGAATGAAGTCATTGCGCCCGAGTTTGATTTTGCTAAAGAATTCGAAGCTTTAGAGGAGCTCCAGGTGTTGAAAGATCTCGAAGTAACATCCCCTCAAGATGCTCCATTTTCACCTCAAACATTCCTTGATGAAATCGCTCAAGCTCCAAAATTGAAACACTTGGAAATTTATTTCGATTACTATGATCACGTTCTTCCTCACATCAACAAATTGATTGAAAAATCTGAGCCAGTCTGGCCAAGTCTTCAAACACTCGTCGCTTATAACAATGTGGAAGATGAGGAGAGAGAATTTCCTCAGATGGAGGAAAAGACGATTTGGGAAGCGGAGAAAGAAGACCCATTCAAGTTTGGAGTACTAAATGCCGAGTGGAGACAGCATGAAGAGCTATCGGCGCAGGACGCATGCAGATATGGCAGGCTTTCATCATCTGATGGTAGATCCATTGAAGTTAAAGTCAAGTACGAAGAGAACAATTGGAACAGGTCAGTTTCCTTGAAGCTCGGTGATCCTTCATCTTTACAAGATCAAGACAGTGAAGACAGTCGAGACAGGGTGGATAGTGGATACGGTGAAGAGATGGAAGACATCGAGGACAATGATGATTAAATCCGTGAACCTTCAAAAGATCATCTCGAGTATAAGAAAGGATGAGGCAAAAGGCGATGACGCCATTTTCCTCGCTTCGTTTTCTGCATTCAGTTGGAATATTTCCTTTCTTTTTCTATAGCTTTTTTCATCCTTTCCTTTATCAATTTAAACTTATCACAAAATTCAGCAAAAAAATGTTCCTCATCCTAATTCCCACTTTGTCACCTTGCTGTTGTAATTGAGATCGCTGAGATCATAATCTGAGTACTTTGTTTTATCAATTCACACACATCACAAGAAATCATCAACCACAATCTTCTTTTGTAAAATCTTCTTTTGTGAATGAATTCCAACTTTGTTACCTTGCTCTTGTACGTGCATGAAAAAATTCCGAACCATGTTCTCTCGTACGAGGGTGTATGAGAGCTGTAAGAAAAGTTGCATTTCAAAATTTTGAACCGTATCCTTCCTATCTGAGCCTATCTGAGCATATCACAGCATATCTTCGAGTCTCTCTACGCTTGCTACACAGAGATTGACAATCTTCTTTTTAGACTTGGCGTGCTTTACTTTGCAATGTCTGGACGTGCGCCTTTAGGTTTTGCAATGGAGATCTTGCTTTATCAGCTTCATTATGCCAACCAAGTTCTCTGCCCTTCAAAACCTAAACACCACACGATGTAATATCACATCCAAAGGATATATTACTTTCACCCAGGGAGAAGGGGGGTTTCAGTACGATGATCAATTGAGAATCGACGAATCGATCATGATAATGAGTAGAAAGTCGACCATTCCACATTAACAAAGAAGCAGTATGATCCAGGACAAGTAAAGGCCCAAAGGACTCGTTAATCCTTCACAAGCACAAAGAATCAAAAGAGACACTGAATTCCATGACCTTGAGAACTCGCAAGCACGGCCGGATTTGGTATTCATCAATAGTCCCCAATCAAAAGTCTCGAGTCAGAAAAAATCTACCGATCAGCCGTGTTTTTGTTCTTTTCGATCATAAATGTTCAATGTTCAAACTCGAAGTTTTCTTGGTCCTCAGCACCTCACCATTTTCATCGTATCGTCATTATCATCACACCAAAAAACAAAACAGTTTACCACCATTACCCACCAATTACCCACCAATATTCTATCTATAACTTTTCCTCAATAAATCTTCATCAAACACAAAACTTTCTATAGCTTTTCCTCGATCCATCTTGCTAGTTTTTCAATTCGGTCTCCTATCTCCCTCACCCAATCATCAGCATCAGCAACCTACAAAGCAGCCTTCTTCTGTTTGACACTCCTAAAGATTCCAATCATTTTTTCTCAAGCGATTCGATCTGATAAATCCGTCATCATGTCTTCTTATCAAGAATCTTTTTTCTTTCAGGTCAGCCTCTTTTCTAGCACTCACACATCATCAATTTCTTAATAATTCTCATTTGTTTTTCTCCTCTTCATATGACTACACGTATCTCTCACACTCGACTTGAACATGAGAATACAGCATCTTAGTGAGGATAAATATGATATTGAAGATAGTGAAGATATCGAGATCATTTACGACAGTGAAATCGTTTACGACAGTGAAGACGATGAAGAGATGGAAGATGGTGAAGAGATGGAAGACGGTGAAGAGATGGAAGTCGTTTACGGCATTGCATACATGGTGGACAGAAGATACGGTGATGAAATGGAAGAGAGTGAGGATAGTGAAGACAGTGATTAGATACTTCTACTTACAAAAAATCTCTGCATCAAAAGTGTAAAAAAAGCCGACGTAGGAGGTCATGATGCCATTAAGTAAAGGAGAATTCGAATTTGTCAGAAAAGACAATCCTTGTTTCCATTTTATTCTTTCTGAGCACTTCTCTTCATTTTTCTTGACTTTCCCACCCTCCATGAATCTTTTCATTTATCAATCAAACCTCGTCAAAAAACATCATAAACAGAAAAATATTCCTTCTTCTAATCTGTACTTTGTTATCTTGCTGTTGTACTTGTAATTGTGATCATAATTTGAATCCTTCCTTTTATCAACTCACACTCATCACAGAGAAATCCCAAACGCAAAAACGTATTCCTTACTTTGTGTCGCACTGTTTTACCTTGCTTTTGGAGTCGAAATCAGAATTTACATGTGTGAAAGTCGAATGCCACGTCGGTGATAAAGGAACTTGCAACTGCAATATTTGTTTTGTTTTTCACAAACAGGTCAAAAATAACTTATAAGAGCACAATTAAAACATCGACCTTCTTTGGAGCTGAAATATATCTGCGTCCGCTTGTTCACTTCAAGAGCCGAAGGACTTGAATTGTACGCCTCACAGATTAACTTACAACAGGAGCAGTGTTTGAGGAGCACTGCTGGTCTATGAAGAGTGCTGAATGCTGCTGAATGCAATTTGGTCCTGTGCTTTTAGTACAGTCGTTTTCGAAAAGCTTGTCACAAATTCACTGCCAAATCGCTCGAGTTTTGCGGGCAAATTTGGACAAAAAACGTAGATCTTGTTCTATCAGCTTCATCACACATCTGAAGTATAAGGAGTGGTGTTAGGCTCAGCATGGCAGGCTTTAGTGGCTGTCAAACCTGCCCCAGTTTTCAAAAAACCCAGTTGACCCAGTTGTTTTTTGGCAGTAACTTTGTGTATCAAGTTGACATTTGTTGACAGCTCCCAGCCAAAAATTCAACTGGGGCAACCGGGTTTTTTGAAACTGGGTCAGGTTTGAGAGCCACTTTTTTTCGGCGTTGCCCATTTGCCAGCATTTGCCATGTTATGGAGTCCTGTACCGAGCTACCGACATCCGTCGGGTATTGCGCACATCGAGTTTGGAATATCCGGAAAGGCGGGTATGAAGTGTGTGATGATGACGACAAGAAAACTTGAATCGATCAACGAATCCTCATCAGAACACCGGTGACCAGTCTGAATGAGACTCAGAACCAATCCATCAACATCTCAAGACACTCAATCAACTCAACCCAACAAATCTTCTGAACTTTAACTCATAAACTGAATTTATCAAATATCTCAATCCAAGCCAAACCAGTGAAGACAAGAAATCCAACCATTGAAACATGGTAGAAGGCCTAAAACATAAACTGATCATCTTATTTGAAATTCTAATCATCACCACAACTTTAATCACTGGATTTTATTTACCAGGAAGTGCTCCTAAAGATTATTCAGAAGGTGATCTAGTTCCACTCTTGGTCAATGCACTCACTCCTCAATTATCTCAACATTCAAAATTGAAAAGTGTACTTTCATTTGATTATTATCATCCTCAATTTCATTTTTGTAAACCTTTGAATGATGAACCCAAAAGTCAACGTGAATCTTTTGGTAGTATTTTGTTTGGTGATCGACTTTATAATTCTCCTTTTGAGGTGAGTTTTTATATTTTTATCAGAAACTTCATTTAACAACCTGTGCTCGTTTATGGAAGATCTATGAATTTATATGGTTTGTATTTCAAATAGATTCGAATGAGGAAAAATGAAACATGTAAAAAACTTTGTGATACGGTCATTCCTGGAGGACAAGATACAAAGTTTATGAATACAGCCATCAGAGAACATTATGCTCTTAATTGGCTAGTTGATGGTACATTCTCTTCAAAATTTCGCGAAATCTTTTCAATTCTTCTGATGATCAAGTGATTCTTATGGAAACATTAACCCTTGGATAATCTTTATAGGTCTTCCGGCTGCTGAAATGAAACGCGATGATCGGACGGGAAAGACGTTTTATTCGATTGGATTTGGCTTAGGAAAAGAAGGTCCACCTCCTACGCTTCATAATCATTACAATATCTTTTTAGAGTTAGTTTTGATGAGTTTCATTTGGTATCATATTTGAGATAAATCCTTAACTTTTGATTTCGGTTTATAACTTAGATACCACATGCGAGATGGACAGTATCGTGTGGTAGGTGTATTGGTTTGGCCAACCTCGGTTGGTAAGAATTCTGGCGGAGAACAAACTTGCGAATCTGAAGAAACTTTAACTCTGAAAGAAGATGGCGATAATCCGATCAGCTACACATATAGTGTCATTTGGACTGTCAGTAATCGAATCTTCTGGACTGTTGCGTTTTTAGAAATTCTTGATGTTGAACCTTTTGATTTTCATTTACACAGGAATCCAAGACTCCTTGGGCAACTCGATGGGATAATTACCTATATATCTTTGATCCTCAGATACATTGGTTTTCATTAGTCAAGTTTGTATTGTCTTTAAAAGCATGATCTATTCTCGACACTTACTGAATCTACACCTACCTTTTCGACTCCCCTAATCATTAGTTCTATAGTGATCGCCCTCTTCTTGTGCGTGATGGTCGGTATGATTCTCATAAGAACCGTCAATCGGGATATTGGAAGATACAATGCAATCGATCAGATAGATGATGTTCAAGAAGACTTTGGATGGAAATTAGTTCACGGTGAAGTCTTTAGATCACCAGAAAGACCAATGTTATTATCAGTCGCTGTAGGTAGCGGTGCTCAATTGGTGGCTATGGCAGCTGTCACTCTAGGTTAGCCATCGTTCTATTCGACTTACCTTAACATCACACTAACCATTTATCCTCGCCGTAGCATTTGCTCTGCTGGGCTTCCTCTCGCCTGCTAATCGTGGTAGTCTATCTACTGTGATGATCATCACTTGGACTTTATTCAGTTATATAGCTGGATACGTGAGCACGAGGCTTTATCAAACCTTAGGAGGATTCTCGTTCAAACAAAATATTGTGGTCACAGCTTGCTTATTTCCAACGTAAGATCAAATCTCTTTGTGATGAGACGTTGAATTCTTGGATCTCTGATCCCTTATATCACCTCACAGAATCTTATTTGCGGTCCTCAATTTCCTTAATTTCTTTTTGGTCGCATCTGGAGCTGCTGGAGCAGTACCATTCGGTACGTCTCTCCCCTCATTTCGCTCACACAAACTTTGATACCTAAATGTGAATTTGACTCTTCCTAATAAACTTAAAATAGGTACAATGCTAGCCGTCATCGTCCTCTGGTTCCTCATCTCTCTTCCTCTAAACGTTCTAGGTTCGATCATGGGATCTAGAAAAGGACCACTCAAGATTCCCGTAAGAGTCAATCAAATCCCACGTCAAATCCCTCCAACAATTTGGTATATGCAGTTCTGGCCTTCAGCTTTGATGGCTGGGATCTTACCGTTTGGTGCTGGGTTTATTGAATGTAAGTATTTGGGTTCTTTGTTTTTTTCAAAGGGTTTCATTTGGTTTTGTACTTTGAAGATATTGAGGTTCGTCTTGAGGTTCTGTTTAGGTTATTTTTTGTTGTCTTCTTTGTTTGGTAGTAAGGTTTATTATGCTGCTGGTTTCTTATTTCTTACATTCGGGTCAGTTGAATATCTTTTTAATCTTTCAGTACTCATTATCTATCATCTGATGAAACCTTTGATTCTTCTTGGTTATAATTCAGAGTGGTGGCTCTCACTACAGCTACAGTCACGATTTTGATGTGTTATTTTCATTTATGTCAAGAAGAATATAGATGGCAAGAAAGAGCATTTGTGACGGGTGGCGCAAGTGCTTTTTGGTTAATTGGATATGGACTTGTTTATGCTACTAGACTTTCACTTGATGGATTGGCTTCGATTGCACTTTATGTGGGATATTTAATGCTTATTGCTCTTTTAGATTTTTTGGTAAGTCTTTCTTTTCTCGCGAATTGCCATCCTGTCGTGATGGTTTAGGTATTGATGGGATTCTTTTGGGATGCTTTTAGGTGACGGGATCAATAGGATATATTGCTACATTTTTCTTTTTACAAAGGATATACTCAAGAATTAGGATTGATTAAATGATGATGGATTAAATTTTCAAGATAGAAATTGTTGTGCTAAATTACTAAAACGAAATCAAGCTTTCTGATAATATTTTCTTTTGGAAAAAGAAAATCAAGAGTATCAATCTTTATTTTTACAAATTGAAAATTGATTTATTTATTGTTTCTTTCTTTTCTGTAAAGCTTTTTTTTGCTTTTTTGTTCACTTGAAGCCATTGAGCATTTTTTGATATTCTGTTTTTTTTCATTGGGGAAATGAATGAAGAATTTGAAACATCAGTTTTGAGGTTTCATTGTTTTTGGGGAGTTTTGATTTGAGAGCTGTCAAAAGCATGAGGATTGGGAGGTCAAACTTGGCTTCATGGTGTTTTCTTTGGCATGATCAAGAGGGTTTGAAAGTATCATGGAGATTGCTTATCAAAGGATTGGTAGACTTTGTAAACTTCTTTTGTCATGGTTTTGAGATAATCTCATCACGCGATCGTCTCGATCATAAAACATAAAAGGAAACGGTTTCGCTTGAGCTCATCATAAAGAATCAAAATACCGTATGAATAATACTATGAAGAAGAATCACATACCTTCAATTAATAAAAGGAGTCAATAACACAATCATCAATCATGGCAAAAGGATAGGTCTGGAATCAAACCAAAGAAATAAGGGATTTGAGAGCAAACTGTAAGGAAACAATTCACTTACAAATTGAATGTGGAATTCCGAGTACATAAAAAGAATATCAATCTGTAGTTTCTTTTCTCGGATTAGGTCCAGGATGTGGGTTCGCATTAATTCCTTCTTCATAATGCCAAGAGATAAGTTTATAAACTAAACCACCCAACTAAGATCCAACAACCAAATCAACGAGATACCTTAAGCTTTAAATCGTAAGGAGTTCCAAATCAAGAGAATGGAAGAAATAAATAAATGCACAAACCATTGTGGCTGGGATATTAGTAAGTGTGGCAAGGGCCACATAACGATGATTTGAAAATACTCTACCACCGTAAATCATGCTGGTTCCTATTTGTCTATCAGTATAAAGGAGGTTTTCTTTAGTATCTTTGCGGAATTTATTGGGTACACGAGGAGAGTATATTTACCCGCCTAAACCACGAGCTGTGTTGAGGACAACAGTGTTCAATCCGAAACTGATGATGGCGATAAAGTAACCTATACCACTACATACCAAAGATTCACGAGTATATATCAGCAGTCTTTCAAGGTCTCATCATGTCAGTGTCACCTGGCCATCTTTCCTCATTTTCTTTTCTCATATCTTTCGTATAAGCAAATGAAAGTAAAGACGTACATGATGAAAGGAATGCTAGCTCTACTCATCAACGGATTTCTCAAATCAATAGCTCCAAAGATCAATAATCCAAGTACAGCACTAGCAATAAATTCACCAAAGAACACACTGGAAGCCAAATTTCACACAGATGCTCAGTCAGTTCAATTTCCTACAGAAGAAACAAATTAAACAGATGATGACATACCGACCAAGGTTTTGATTAGGTCCAGGAAAGAATCCACCCACACCAGCAGGACCAGTAGAAGAATAAATCAAATCTTCTCTACCATTTGATCTTAATGCATTTTCAAGTGTATTAAGAGATTGACCATAAATACCATAAACCACAAGGGTTGCAAGAATTGAACCTAAGAGTTGAAAAAGTATATATGGTAAAACTCGATATTTTGGAAACCCTCTAAAAATCTATAAAAAAAGGTGTAGAAATTTATTGCGGTTTTTTTGTTAGGTTTGATTCTTTTGGACAAATAAAGAGGAAATAGTTTAACCAACGGCAAAACTGAGGGATACACCTGGACTCAAATGTGAGCCTGAGACGTGGGCTGTGAGGATGATACCAATAATAATTCCAAACCTACAAAGATATCGAATTCGGTCAACCAGAGCTTCAGTACGAGAAATTCAGATCATTGTGGAAGAGAAGGAAAACATGACGTACGTATATGCGAAGGCGATCTAAATGTATGCACGCCGTAAGAACACCAAGGGAGTGAACCAAATGAGTGATATCAAGGGAGAAAAACTTCAACCGTAAGAGTAATACAGTGTGAATGATTGATGAATCAAAGAAAACAAAAGCTCACATTCAAAAGACTACCAAACCCCGGCCTATTAGTAGCAGAAGAAAGTATAAAAGCTTTCCAAGAAATCGTTTTCAAATCCAAAAAAAGACATTCAAGATTCAGATCGACACGAATATATCAGATATTTGATTACTTTTTTGAAAAAAAGAAGATATGTTATACCTGCAGTAGCAGCTTCACCAGGTAAAACGTACAAGAATACACCTACTAATTCTGCTATACAATGAATCAACAAAATCAATGGACGAGATGATGATGATGGTTTCTTATAGCTTGCTTGAGCAATTTCAGGATCATGATTCATGATGAAGTTGTAAAAAGTAAAGTGTTAGTAAGTAAGACTCTTTTGATGATGATGATAATGGATCTTAATGAAAGTTTTTGATTTCCAAAAGGAATGTTGAGAAATTGATCATCATAGAGGTTATGTAAAAGAAGTATGGATTAGTTTACCATTTACGGAAGCCCTGAGCGTGGGGTCCGCCAACCCTCTTAAACACATACATACAACTACCGCCTACTACATACATCCAACGTCACATCTCATATGCCCATCCTTGCCCATCACCAATTTGAGCCACCTCTCCGTCATCGACTCTTCGACTCACCTGCTGCTCACGATCTCATTCCACTCGACCTCAAGCTGTATTTCCGATATCGTCCATCCTGCTCCAGAAGTCACGTGCAAATACCAATCCTCACTCAAAACATGATAACCCAATGGATGGGTTTCAAGATTAACATGGTGGCAAAATGATATCAAGGGAATCGGGGTGCTTTTTGCTGTGATGACTCTTCTAGACTCGCTGTAGATTACCCAATGAGTACGATCACATTACTGGCTCGACCTCGCGATATCACAAAGGATAACCACCCCTGCTGGTCTCGACTTGAGGCAAAACGTTCAACGGGCGAAATGCAGATGTCCGAACTTGAATTTCTTGCTCGTTTGAACGCCAGCTACACAATTGAGACTCGACGTGCGGAACTTCCTACATCAAAGGCAACCCCATGTATTCCAATCTGGATCGCCTGCGATTGGTAGCTAACAGGCAATCTGTCAAGAAGGTGAACAGGACGATGAAACGTTGACTGGGGAGCAGTAAAGGGATTTGGTCAACCAACCTGTTTGGATCTTTATGGTAAGGTGATCAGCTCGATAGAAGGAAGGTAAATTTTCATGTTCAACTTCAACACTCAGTTGCTTTGGCCCATTTCAAATTTGCGCATTCACTACATAACTCAGTCTTTTGATAAAATTACTACATCCAAGGTGGGGCTCTGTTTGAAGGTCAGGAAGTGTTGATGTGGCTTGAACCAGCCTCTAGCTCCATAGATGTTGGCTGTGATTGCAGGCTAGACTTTCTCAAATCATCTCTCAATAATGATTACAATCTTTTTCAAAAACTGTCTCATCAAGTGGTGTCTCTAGCTGTTGAATTTTGTCATAGAGAATTATAAGTTTAACCTTAGTCAATAATTGTTCATTGTTGAAAACCCAGCTTGCGAGCTTTGCTGTAGAATGTTTGTTTTTGCTGTTTTCTACAATTTTAGTGATTATAAGTGAAATGAAAAAGAGAAAGGCGTTCGAAGTTGAACAGAGGTAGTGAATTTGATATCGTTGGGGTTAGTTGAATCAAAGTCTTGCTCTGTCGTCCAAGGGTGAGCTCAATGCGCAAAGAGATGGGGATGGATGGAGATGAAGAAGCCTCTACATATGTAGGCCGAGTCGAATTGGTGCGCCAAACGCGTGGAAGCACCACAGAAATGGGTTGAATTTGATTTTAGAGATGTTGAAGTTTGAAGTGGTGAGCTTTTGAGCGGTGGTGTTGTGTATGTGTTTAAGAGGGTTGGCGGACCCCACGCTCAGGGCTTCCGTAACCATTGCATATATCTATCTTTCTGACGTCATCGAGCTTCAAGTCTTTGATTGGTGTTTAATGGTCAACAGCTTTTCAATGAAATTGAGAATCGATCTGCTGCAGATTAAACCTCATAAGCACACAGCTGACTACAATTCAACGCCATCATCACGAGGAGCAAGGAGACTGAGACCACCGGCTTAGACATTACTCACGAGGTTTAATAAAAGTAACATACACAGGTCAGCAGGGAATTGCACCATGGTCACTTGCTCAGAAGTCCATTCGAATTGACCACTCCTGGAGGGTCGTGATCATCTTTTGAAGAGCTCGATGTGGTTTCTTCTTCAGGGTACGAAATCATCAGCTTGAAAGTCAAGAAGGCCAAGGAGATCTTCTCGTTAGATAAGTGGTCAGATTACATAAGCTCATGACTGACTGATCACAGCTCCGATTACCAAGCCAACTCAGATAAGCCTTCCTCTCTTCTTCATGAAGGATTGAGTAGACCAAGAATAAGCTGAGTTGTACATCACGGGGCGACTTTTGAGCGCGAGACGCGGGCCAGGTGATCAAGATGAGTCGCTGAGTGGATTTCACTCGGTGACAATGTAAAATCCACTCAGCGAACGACCATGTGTGATGACCAAGGTACATATCGGTCATCACGTGGTTTTGCTCGATTCTGGGGCAGTGTGACCATCACGGTGCCACCACGTCACGTTGGTTTTCAAGACCTTTTCACTTTGATTGGATTAGTTTGTTTTATTTTTTGGCACATGAGATTAGAAGAAGGTATGAAAGAAAAATCAGAATCAAATTAGATCTTGGTGAAAGTCATGGATGGGCATTTCAATGGAATTTAGAAATTAAGAAAACAAAGAAAAGATAAAAGATTTAATGCATGATTTGCTTTATTTTTATTTTTATTTTGTTAATGCATGAAGATCATGAGTTGAGGTTAGGGAAGACAGAAGAGAAGGGTTTGGTTTGAGTTTCAATCCATGATGACAATTTGGAGATCATATCCTGTTTTGGACACCTTCTCAGCAGAGTTTTTATGTTCAACTTCACTTATGTTTGACACTCATTTTCAAGATTATGGTCACAGGTAAGATTTTAAAACCTATGCAAAAATTTGTGCAAGTTTTTGTGCAAATTCTGTGCAAGACATGAATAGAAGTTGCACTCATATTGCACGGATCTTGCACATTGTTTTTGCGCATTGTTTTTGCACGGTTCTTGTGCCAGTTGGAACAAAATAGTTGGGTTGTCACAAAATTTAACACACAATATTATATTGGTGCAAGGAATCTTGCACATTTGGTCTTGCACAGTTTTTGCACAGGTTTGAGGACCATAAATGTATAGTGGAAACCACCAAGAGGCAAGAAGCCACAGACCAGTTGATTTGTAATTATAACAAACAACCCGAATTTCATTTTGGTGTACCCTTGACTATCAAAATCAAAATCAAAAACATAAACTTCAAAATCATAAACTTCAAAAATTAGTCTTCTGAAGATATTTTCAACTAGCTCTGAGGTCTGAAGAAGAGGACCCCGAAAATATTTTGATTTGTGAAGTGAGAGGTATTTGTGAGTTTGGCAATGTTTTTTTTGAAAATTACTTAATTACTCACAAACTCACAACTTTTCAAAAATCTGCCAATAGGTCTTACAACAACTGTAAACATGTGACAGTTTCATATAAAACTCTCCCTGATAGCCTGCTGAAGCCTATTCCAAGTGCAAGTGCATTGCCCAAACCAAAAAATCCCTTCATTCCACTTGATCTCATTCTTACATCCATCATTCTTTTCCTATTTGTTTGCCAATCACTATGTATGATATATTGGTCCTAATTCTCAGATCATCATTCACCTAGTGAGTGATGTTTGTAGAAAACCGAACCTTGTAAAAAGAATACAGTTGTTTAAGATGATCTTTGAAATCATCTTAAACTTCATGAGTAATGTTGATGGATATCATACAAATCTTTCATATATATACTTGTGATTTTCCTTGTGATGTCATCTTGTAACTGTGATGCATGATGATTGTTTTTTAAATAATTGCCACAACTTGCTTTTCTACAGCAAACACCAAGAAGAAAAATCAAACTTGTTTTCAACAGAACTTGCTCAGAAAAAGAATCTCTGCACATTGTAAGTCCAATGCTCCTTATAATGAGTCCAGAGAAAGACTTTGTAGCTGATCATAAAAAGCAACACTCGGTGGAATAAACATTGAGCGGACAGTGAGTGAAAACGGGCAAAGTGTTGTCGGTCAAATTCGGGATAGACTGGAGTCTAGTTTCAGGTTGATTTTTTTTGAGTGATTTGGGGCTCCACAGAAGCTGAGCTGAAGTGTTTTGATGATCGATGAAGATTGAAAAGGTGTTGTTTGAGAATTGAATTTTGATTTGGATTGGATGAAGAAGTGTTTCAGAGTTAAATTTGAAATTGAAAATTAAGTTTTGATGTTGATCTGGGGTCTCTTGCTGTTTGATGAGCTTTCTTTAACCAAACGATCATTACATTTTTAAAAGTCTTTAAGACCCAATCCGCGTCTCGATTCACGAGTCACGACTAGGTAGGTATTGATAGGTAGCCTAGCAATCAGATTCACATCAAATCAGGATTAAGTTGAGAATCGATTGAGAAATTATCTTGTTTACTCTCATTTTCGTTAAATTCATTCATTCATTCATTCCATCAAATCACTTCACACTCTCTTGACCAACTCACTTAACATGTTCACTTCTCATCCTCCGATCTTCTCAATTCTCTTCACCATCACTATCACTATCGTTCTAATCCCAACTCATCCCGTCTCAGCCGCATCTTCATCAAAATCATCTCAACTTCCTATCATCGATTGGTCAGCACTCGGGAACGTCGCTTTACTCGGTTCTTTCTCTGGTCTATCAATCTATAACGCTTCAACTTCAAATTCAACTTTCGATCCTTCTCATTCTACCATCATCTCATTAGATACTTCATCTCAATCTGAACCTCAACCTTTAATCTCTCTCGGTACTACAAATCAAGGTGGTTCGATTCATACCATCTGTCAATCAAACAATAAACTTTACATTGGTGGTTCTTTCAATTCGATCAACTCTGTCAATCCTCTCTCTAATATTGCAGTCTATGATCCTAGCTCAAACTCTTTTGAAGGTCTTGCTCAAGGTCTTGATGGTCCGGTTTATACTATCTCTTGTGATAATGATCCTAATCTGATCTGGATCGGTGGATCTTTCAACTCGCCCGTCGGAGTCTCCGATTCTTCATTCGGTCCTAATATCATCACCTGGTCGCCTTCAAGCTCTTCATGGAAACCTGCTCCTTTCGTAGGTCTCAATGGTCCTGTTTGGTCAATTCAAGAAACCACATCGAAATCAGGTCGTAGTCTTATCCTAGGTGGCTCATTCTCTGTCCTCATCGATTCTCCAAATGGCACAACCTCAAAAGGTGGAATCGCTTCTTCTCCTACATCTGCCAATCAAGCTGCACAAGAAGCTGGCGCGCCTGCCAACTTTACTTCTTTAGGCTCATCACTCACTCCAATCTCATTAACTCAAGCTTCGGTCTCTGCTCAACCTAGCTCAACTCTCGATGGCTATAACACGGCCAAGAATATCTTTTGTCCGCCTGGTATTGATGGACCTGGGAGCAGTTGGCTACTTGATGGGGCTCATAATGACGGTCTCTTTACTGTCAATCTTGGTCAGGCAGTTCAAGCTGGTGGAATCAGGCTGGGCAACACTTTTGCTGATGGAGGTGCTACTCACGAGTTCCAGTAAGCTCGGAATCATTCTGATCTTTCAATGAACCTCTTTCACCTTGACAAACTTGCTCTTTATCTTTCTGTAGAATCGTCTCTATACCCGATAATACTGTTTTACAGCTCACATTAATAGACCCAATCACCCAACAGTTATCAACCTGTCAAACTAATTGTACTCTGGCCAGAGATGTTGCTATACCATACGAAGATTTCTTATTCCCCAATGGGACTACTTTAACTGGATTTCAAATCGTGATTAAATCAAAATATGGAAATGTGGCTGGCTTTCATCTTATTCAATTACTTTCGACTGGCAACACTGCTTATGCGGTCAGTCGTCTCAATGGTGATAGCAATAATCAATGTACAAGTGGACTTGGTTCAATGGGTGGCAACAGTTCTTCTTCAACTACGGGTACTTGGACTGAAGCGACCACTAATGCTAATCTTCCTGGTACAACCAAACCTGTCTTGATGTCGGCTGTTCAGAGTGGCACATCTCCCAATAATGGTCCTAGTCTCAGTTGGAATGTTTTTGTAGCTCAATCTGGAGTATATGACATCTCAGTCTATCTACCTGGTTGTCAAAACATGGGCAATTGTGATAAGCGTACACAAGTTAATGTGATGGTTCAACCTCTCGGCGCAGGTAATACATCACCGACTATTACTAAAGTTGATCAGTCAAACCAGCAAGATTCTTCTGTGGTCGTTTACAATGGCACTCTAACAGCAACCGGTCAAGGTGGAGGCGTCAGGATCACTATGCGACTCGCTGAGACCGCCGGACGCGATGTAGTGATTGTAGCAGATCAAGCCATCTTACGAGCTCATTCTTCTAACGGAATCACCAGTGGTATCCTTTCTCATGGTCTATTTGAGTTCGTCATGGAAGGAGCTGGCGCGTTTGGTGATGGGGCGGTCGCCTCTGCTGGACTTGATGCAGCTTCAACTGCTAGTGCTCTCAAACTCACGACCACCACAGCTTTGGACACGCTCGGTACTCAATTTGATTCGAATGTGACAGTCAAGAGTATCGTATTCAGTGATCCATCGACAGTCTTTGTGTCTGGAGATTCGTTAAATACCTCTTCGAGCTTTGGTACTGTCCTTCGTCCTAGCACGAGCTCGTCTGCTATCATTCCCAATGGTGGATTAAATGGAAATGTGGATAGTTCGATCATCTTGGACGGGTATCTCTATGTTGCTGGTAACTTTACATCAACAGTCGATCGACAAGTTGTTGGACTGGATGGGCTCGCTCGTTGGCATTACAGTCAAGTTGGCACATCTTGGGAACCACTTAGGGATGGATCTGGTTTGATTGGTCAAATTGTGAAATTAACGGCACTCAACAATATGATCTTTGCAATCAGTTCAGGCGCAGGCACAACGCAGCAATCCGGTCGATCTATGGCGGCTTATGATCCAGTGAATTCGAGTTGGGCCGCAGGATCGAATGGATTCCTTTTGGGAAATTTGACAGCCATGTTAGGATCTGGTGCGACCAAGCTCTATCTGGCTGGAAACATTGCCGGAGCTGCGTCTTTCGCTGCTCCGGGTGGTGCTTTCCTTTCGACTAATCCTCAGCTAGCCACCGTTACCCCATTAGGGTTTCAAATGAATGACACAGCTACTATCAACGAGACCGCAGTGTATAAGACTATGACGACTAATCCTGATAGTTTTCCGGTATTATCAAAACGTTGGGTGCTAGAGGAAGAACAGTCAGGCCTTATGTTTGATACTGGTAGAGATACTGAATTGGAGGATATGATCTTTGGAACATTAACATCAGAAGATCAAACCGTCAATCCGTTCTCAATCTTATCATTACCAAAATCTTTTACTCGACGTCAGACAACTACAACAAGTCCAACTCAATCTTCTACTCCTTCATTTGCTCTTGCTTCAACACCAGGAGCTGCAATCTTGGCTGGATCGTTTTGGAAAGATAAACAAGTCGTCCTTGGTGGAAGGTTTGTCAGTAGTGGTGCTTCACCGGTTTCAAATGTAGGACTTTATGATCAATCTACTGGAAGGCTATCACCTTTGAATGGAACGAGCAAACTGGTTGGTACAGTCCTTACGGTCAAAGTGATCAATGACACTGCATGGATCGGTGGAAGTTTCATTTCACCTAGTGGGAAAACCGGATTAGATACATATGATTTGAAAGCAGGTAGATGGGTCAGTGATCTGATGCCTTCACCGCAACCTTATCCTAACACGAATGTGAGTGTACGAGTGGTGATGAACAGACCTGGGAATTGGAGATCAGATGTGATTATCGGAGGAAGTTTTGGAACGTTGGGTTCATTACCATGTCAATCTATTTGTCTTAGATCGAGTGTTACCGGTCAATGGCAGAGTTTAGGAAACGGATTGAGAGGAGTGGTGAATTCGATTGATTTCACGGGTAAAGATCGTAATCAAATGATTGTGGGAGGATTTTTTAATGCGGGAAGAAACTCGATTTCAAAAGTGGTCAGATGGGATTTTGATTCGACTACGATGGAATGGAATGAGATTGGAAATCAAGATTCGATACCTGGGATCGTGAAGGCTTTAGTGACTGATGGTACATCACTTTCGACTTTGTTTGTAGCTGGTCAAGTTCAATCTACTGGATTCCCATTCTTGATGAGATGGGATGGAAACCAATGGCGAAATATAATTGAGAATGGAGGATTGTTGAATGGATCGCTGATTGAACAATTATCATTTGTACCACTTCAATCGATTAATGGACCGAAGAGTAATGTGATGAATGGGATTGAAAATGATAGGATGTTGATGGTTTCGGGATCATTGGTTTTGGAAAACCAAGCTAATAAGATTAGTGTGGCACTTTGGGATGGAACGAATTGGTTTCCTTATTTTGTTACGGTTGATGAGACTGGTACGAGTGGTGTGGTTTCTAAGATGGTCTCTGTGGCTGATAGTTTTATTAGTTCTGCTCGAAGTGAGTGTTTATTTTTTTGCGATAAAGTGTGAGATCTGCTTTTAGATTCATCGATGACTGATTTTTTACTTTATAGGATTCCTTTCGGTTGGAGTGATCATTGCAATCTCCATGGCAATTTCATTAGGAATCGTCTTTTTTGGAGTACTGATTGGATTATTGATTGCCTTGAAGATGAGATCAAAAGAATCGGCTCATGTGAATCAAGCGGGAAATTATTCGATTGAAGATGAAGATGAATTAGAAGAAGAAGAAGAAAGAGGTCGACCTAGTTCATTACTTGCGACGATTGATGCAGCTACTGCAGCTATGACGGATCGAATGAGAAACTTACAAGAAAAAGAAAAACCAACGGGATTGGGTGTGATGGTCATGAAGGGTGCTGGTGAGACGAATGGGAATAAGAGATTGATGGAAGATGTTTCACCTGTTGTGAGTGATTCTAATGAACGACAAAGAGAACGTGATTCGATGGTTGGACAGAATCAGATGACTATGGTAGAGATTAATGATGATGATGATGAAGATGATCATCATCAAGATCTTAGAGATCGGGTGGATGATCAAGCTCAGTTTAGTGAAGGTGAAGGTGATGGTGGTGGAGGTGAGGGTGATGATGGTATTGATGAAGAAATCGATATTAGAAGAGCTCGTTGGTCATTTGATCCTCAATTGGTATGATTGGTTTTTCTTTTTTTTTAAATTTTCTTGATACTTTTTTGAAAGAAAAAATCGAAGAAAGAAAAACAAGTGGTCTAATTTGATTTCGTTGAACGTTTTTTTTAGCCGGGTGAAATTGGAGTAGGAGCTGGTGAATCTGTTGAAATTAAAGATCGAAGTAATCCAGATTGGTGGTATGTGTTTTTTGTTTTTGTTTTGGAATTGGATGTTTGGATTTGGATTTGGTGTATTGATGTTTGGTTTGGTTGTTTTCTTTTTTTGGTGATAGGTTGGTAAGAAGAGCAGATGGAGTTGAAGGTGTTATACCAGCAGATTGGTTTTTGTAAAAACCTAAGAATGGAATATGATTGAAACCTTTGAAACCTCTGCTCAAATTCTCAAACCTTGAATTCTTAAATCTTTAATCATACACATCATTTTCGGTTTTTTTTTTCAAAGTATAAAGAAGATCTTGATTTAATTTAGGTTTTCTTTTTTGGTTATTAGGGTACATTTTAGTGTCTTTGATTTGGTGTGATAATTTTTTTTATTAAGTTTTTTTTTTTTTCATTTTCCGTGATTCATATTTTCATTATTAAGAATGAAATCAGTGGAATTTATGAAGTTTTCAAGACATGATGGGAGGGGGGGTTGTTTCTAAAAGGGGTTTTAAATTAGGATTTTGGTTTTTTTTATTGTCTTTGGACTTTTTTTCCATCAAGATGATTTGTTTTTTTTTCTTTCTTTTTAACTGGATTGAATTTTTTTCCTTTTTTTCTTTGGAGAGTAATTTATTTGATTTGGTTTTGGTTTATATACTTTGTGTTTTTTTTTTTGGTTTTTGATCATCATGGTTATCAAATTATGGTTGATCATTTGGTTAGGTTTGTTTGTTTTAGTACAATTTATATACCCTTTCTTTTGTTTTTGTTTTTTGTTTTTCTTTGGTTTTTGTTTTTCTTTGGTTTTGGTTTTTGAAGTTTGTTGAATTTGAAAGGGAATGAGTTGGACTTGAAAGTTTAAGTGGAATGAATGCAGTGAAGATTTAAGTGGATGATGTTTTTGTCTTCTTTAGTAGTTTGTCACTGTGGATCATGAAGATTAGGAAGATTTGTGATATATATTCTTGTTTTTTGGATTGATCAGTAAGTACAAACAAATTTTGAAGAGTTTTTTTTGAAGCAAAACACAAAGGGTGAAATGTTTTGAGAAAGGTTTTAAGCTTTTAAAGGTTTCTTATCATGATTTCAACTTGTGGTACATACACTGAGGACCACTATTCAGGACTCTGTGATCAAGGTCAAGACAGCAAGACTTACAAGATTAACATCTTAGAAATGTTTTACATCTTCAATCTTGAGGCTCATTTGGATCACTAGTGATGTGTCTTTTGCGATGATGGAGAAGAAGTCCTTCACCACCTTACTTCGTCTCTGTAACCAAGAAACCACGTCTATGATAGTCAAGGAGGATGCTCTGTCTCGACACTTACGAGAAGTCTTTCTATTTCATCAAGATCACCTCGAAGGACAACTCCTTGCCGAAGCTCCTGCTGTCTCTTACACCCTTGACGCGTGGACCGCCCCCAACAACACCGCTTTTATGGCTATTACTGCTCATATGATCAATTCGAAGTTCGAGAAGGTCGATGTCCTTCTTAGTATCCCGCACGTAGAGGGTAAGATGTCTATCTCTTACCCTCTTTTCTGTTTTGTTTTTTTACTGACATTCATTTTTAGGAGCTCACACTGGAAAGAACTTTGCTGAATTGTTTATGGAAGCAATCAAGTGTTACGGTGGTCTCAAAAACCCGGCTTCGATCACTACCGACAATGCGTCATCGAACAACACGATGGCCAAAGAAATCGAATACGCTTCGGGTGGTACTTTTGAGGCTGACAAGCAACTCTTAGGCTGTGTAGCCCATGTACTGAACTTAGCTGCTCAAGCTGGCCTCAAGGTCCTCGGTCCTCTTGTTGAAGAATCGACCGAGGATACTCCATCCAATCGAATGGCGATCAACGCACTTGTTGACACTCCCGATGGAGCCCATGTCGACATGGCGTCTGTCTACAAACGAGTCCACGGTCTCGCTACCTACACTCGTGGCAGTCCTCAGCGCCTCGAGGCGTTTCGGAACTTCATCCGTCTCTTTCCACCCGACTCTCCAACCGCGGCTGAGTGTCTCATCCTTGATGTTCGAACTCGATGGAATTCGACCTACGCTATGTTTGAGCGCGCCTTGTTACTCAGGTAAGTTTTTTTTGTTCATGATCATCAACATTTCACTGATATTCAATGATTTGATATCGTGTAGAACTGCCTGCGAACAATTCTCGGCCACTCCAGAGGGCGCAAAGTTCAAGTTATCGTCAATCGAATGGAAGCAACTCGAAGTTATGATGAAGTTTCTCAAACCTCTTAGTGATGCTACCGAGCGTCTCTGTGCGACCAGGTATCCTACGATCAACACCGTTATTCCGATCTATGTGGTTGTGATCAATAAGTTACAAGCGGTGGGTTCTAACTTCGCCTCACCTCCTTAACTTCGCCACACTGACTTTGTACATATCTCTCCCAAACTTAGGTTCGGCACACATACGACTTGGCTCAGCTTATCCCAGCAGCGGACGACATGATCAATAAACTTCAAACTTACCTCACTGCTGCGTTAAAGAAGCCAGGCCCCGTTTGTGCGACAATCCTTGATCCTCGTGTGAAGCTGGAGTTTTACAAAACTCACTTCGACTCACTCTCTATATGTGGTCACTCTTCGGACTCTTTGAAAGCGGACTTTATCGACACGGCACAGGCTTATGCCAGGTTTGCAACTCCTGACATCATCAACACCCAAGCTCCAGCTCTCACACCTGCTACATCACTCGACGACGAACTTTTTTGGGTGCCAGAACTCGGTGACAATAATTCGGTCACAAACAAGATTACCCGTTACCTCTTGGAGCCCCTCGAGCACAAGGACAATTGCATCCTGGCCTATTGGAAGGGAAGGGTGAAGGCTTACCCTGTCCTGTCTGCGATGGCACAGGCTTTCCTTGCTATTCCGGCAACCAGCTGCCCCTCTGAGCACGTCTTCTCTGAAGGGCGTGCGGTGCTCCGACATCAGAGATCAGCACTCCATCCGGCTACCGTTGAGCGTCTTCTTTGTGTTAAAGAGTGGTATCGTGCCTTTGGGCCAGTTTTTTTTGATTGCCTCGATGATTAGGAATTAGAATTATAAGTAAATTAGGCTAAATACAAGAATATTATGAAATTGAAAGTACAAAAATGTACCCCTTTGTCAATGCAAAACCACCTTCTTCTGCCCCCCCAGAGGGTCTTCCAAACTGCGGGGAGTGCGGGGATTTCGCTGAGCTCCCGACTCCCGCCCCCGCAATTCCCCGCGGGATTTGCTGTCCCAAATTGCCTCCCGCATCCCGACCTCGCGGGGTCGGGATGCGGGGAGCCCCCGAAATTCCGGGGCCGGGGCTAAGGTCTATGTGTGATTATCTATTTTAGCATGTGTAGCTTTTAATGCCATTTAGTCCTGAATCACCCTTGTTAATCCTCCAACAACAACCTATCATTTTGGCACAAGAACCCTAAACATCCTTTCTTGGTGGCCATCACATGTCAAGAAAATCAGTTTTAGATGATCAGTTACTAAGTTGGGTTCCCAATCCACCTTAGTAGCTTGAAGTAGGATCACACATGTGTATTAGAAAGGTTATCATTAAACAAATCACTTCAGGACCATCTTCCAAATTGATCTGTGAATCTTTTGTTTATTGAACAATGATTATATCTTTTGAATAACACATAGTAAGAGAAGGTAGAAAATATAATTGAAATAGATAAATGATAATTGAATATTGAGAAGTGTAGAAATAAACAGTGTGCACATTCTCTGTATAATCAATGATTACCTATCTGTTTATGTATGTAATCAGAAATTTACACCTTTCTTTTATCATTATTACATGTAGCTTTTTGTATGTAATTGGTTTGTTTGTAAGGAAGGTGATATGCTGTTAAGGTGGCTTATGCCCTTTCTGACAAGATCCTAGTAAGCTATACACTTCACTTCTGGATCCTCTACTTCCCCTAAGTAGTTTCAATATTAGGTTGGTGACCTCCAAGTTAATAACAAATAGGTTGGTGACCTCCAAGTTGATAACCAATTAGGTTGGTGACCTCTAAGAGATAACCAAGATAGTGCCAAGATATGTAAACTTATCTTGGGAGTATTCAAACCTCATTGCCAAATGTGGCAAGTGTCTATAGGTGATAGGTTGAGATGTGTGGTGGACTCAAGGGGTCAATTTGTGTATTGGATCAAGGCAATACCGCAACCGCTCCACTCAAAATTGTGATGGTGGAGTGGTTGCGGAGCAATTTTTGGCACCGCTACGTCACCGCTATACATAGCGGTGACTGCGCTCCGCAATCCCAGGGTGAGAAACCCCTAGGGGTATGACCCGGCCCTGAAGTGTCAGGGCCGGCCCCGGGGCCGATTCAGGCCCGGCCTCGGCCACGCAATACTCAAGGATGCTGCCGGGCAGCACCGGGCAGGCCCTGGCTCGGACCATCCCCTTGAAAGCGTGTTTGAGAGCTCGGGAAGGATGCTTGATGACGTCAATTTTTCCAAAAGATTGCCTCCATAAAGATTTTTTGCGACGGCCCCGGCCCCGAGTAGCCCTGTACCGGGGCCTTTTTTTCTATTCCCAGGCTGGACTTGAGGCCCCGGGCTCGGCCTCGACCTCACCTAGAAAACGCTCGGGCAAACTCGGCCGGTCAGGGCCAGGGCCGGGTCATAGCCCTAGAAACCCCTTAGCGGTCAAACCCGCTCCACAACGGGTCGGGCCTGTGAGTGCCCTGCTATATAGCGGGGCACAACCCTGTACCCAGGCGCAGGGGTAGAGGGCATACCTCACCTCAAACATTCCCCCAAATTCCGACATCAATCACCAACAACTCTCCATCGATCCAACAGGATGGATGGTGGCGCGTCGGAACCTCCACACCTTTGAATACTGGATAACTATCCCTTGACTGATCGATTTGGGCCAAGCCGTGGTTCCTACCCTAAACAAACCTATTCGATCCGTGCTGGGTGGTTCAAGATCAGGTGTGTTTCCCCTTTTTTTTGTTGTAGGACCCAGCGATTCTCTCATCTTTTTGTGATCTTCCCGCATTCCATCATTACCATGTCCAGATTTCTACCGCAAACCTCGTCTCAAAACAGCCTCCAGGTTCCCGGTAAGACGACTACTCGCAATCTTCGCCCAGCAAGCCCAGCTTGCACAACGCCAGGCTTCATCGTCACTCCAACCAATTCGCGTACCACTCT